ATGCACCATCTACATTGCTAAACAACGTTGACGAGTTCATTCTCGCCCACAATGGCAACAAGTGTGGATCGCCATTGCGCCTTGACAGACGACACCTTTGGTCCCTACGCCGGCGCTGAGTGCCGTGGCGGGTTCGACTTTACTCTCCTCTTTTCAGAAATCTTTCTTTCCATCGTACCTCTGTCTTTGTTGATAGCCGTTGCTCCCTTCAGGATCTACCAGCTGTGGTGGAAGGAGACCAAGGTTTCTAGATCTACTTTATTATACACCAAGCTGGTATGTACTTCATCCCGAGCTTCGCACTATGGTGTCTGACAATTACAACACAGATAGCATGGGCCGTCTTCACTGGCTTCGAACTCGCCCTCCTTGTCATTTGGTCGAACCGAACAGTTCGCAACAGTCGCGCCGAACTCCCTTCCGCTGCCATCAGCTTTGTTGGCGCATTGTTGCTAGGATGTCTTTCCTACGTAGAGCATATGCGTACAATTCGCCCATCATTCCTCCTCACAGTATACCTCCTCTTCACCAGTGTATTTGATATCGAACGCTCTCGCAGCTACGGACTCACCCCACAGCTCGGGCATATTGCCACCGTTTTTGGACCACGTCTAGGGCTGAAGGTGTTCCTCGCTATAGTAGAAGCAAGAGACAAACGACGCCACCTTCTGCCGGATTTCGCCAACAACCCTCCAGAGGCCACCAGCGGTGTATACAAGCGAGCAACTTTCTGGTGGCTTAACTCACTGTTCAAGAAAGGATTCTCCACTACCTTGAGCGTTGAAGACCTCTTTCAATTGGACAAACACCTACGAGCCGACTACTTACACCATCTGCTGGGATCATCATGGGTCAGAAGTAGGTCATGATCACGTCTTTATCCTTTACACATACCTGCTAACACTGATTCCTATAGTCGTTAATATCAGTACTCACTCTCTCTTTGGAATGACATTGAGAAAGCTGAAATGGTCCATATTGGCAGTCGTGCCACCAAGACTCTGCCTCATCGCTTTCAATTTTTGTCAACCATTTTTGATCGAACGGGCAGTCAACTTCTCCCAAGAGGAAGATACAGCGCAAACAGCAAACATCGGTTACGGACTGATCGCTGCATACATCATAGTCTTCATCGGTATTGCAGTCAGTAGATAACTGTGATCGGATATCGTGGACAACTTCGCTAACCAGCTCTGCAGGTTTCGACCGGCCAATACATGCACCTAACCTTCCGGTTCATTACCCAAATGCGAGGCGGCCTTATCTCGATGCTATACAACAAGGCGACAGAGGTCACGTTGACGGACGTGGATGCTGCGTCTTCTATCACGCTCATGAGCGCTGATGTTGAGCGTATCGTCACCGGCATGGAGACTGGCCACGAGATATGGTCCAACACCCTCGAGATAACCCTTGCAATGTACCTGCTGGAGAGACAGCTCGGAGCAGCGTGCGGTATCCCTATTGGCGTTGCCGTCCTCTCATTGCTTGGCTCAATAGCAGCCACCAGCTTGGTCATGCAACGTCAAGCACTTTGGCTTGAAGGTATAGAACGGCGTATCGCAGCGACTAATGCCATGCTCAACTCCATGAAGGGTGTCAAAATGGGTGGTCTCACCGAAGTGTTACGAGACGATCTTCAGAAGCTCCGAGTCGACGAGCTGAACATCTCCAAGAAGTTCAGGAAGCTCCTCATCTGGACTATGGGTTTCTGTAAGTCACTCATCATGCAAAACTCACCATCATTCACTAATCTTTGTTAGCCTACATCTCGCCAATCGTGTCACCCATCTTAGCGTTTGCTGTCTTCTCGATCATCGCAAAAAACAGCAACGGCCGCAGCACACTGGACACGGCTACCGTGTTCACTTCCCTCTCGCTATTCACGCTCCTCACTGAACCTCTCGGATCGCTCATCATGGCTCTTTCTTCACTCATGGGAGGTGTGGGGTCGTTCAAGAGGATCCAGGATTTCTTGACATTGGCTCCGAGGAATGAGCAGCGAAAGTTCCCTTCCATCTATGGCGGTAGCACAACGTCATTGTTCGCGACACACGTTGAGTCAATCAAGGGATCTGAGACTTCTCAAAAGAGCCGTTGCTCTGTTGAACTGAGAGAGTTTAGTGCGCTCGGCTCTCAGGCTATCGTAATCGAGAACGGCTATTTCGGATGGGACCCTGTCAAGCAGCCATCTGGTATCTTGCAGGATATTGACATGATCGTCCCACGCGGGAAGATTACCACGGTCGTGGGACCGGTAGGGTGTGGTAAGTCAACCCTGCTCAAGGCAGTGCTGGGAGAGTTGCCTGTGATGGGTGGCTCCCTGCAGGTGTCTTCCTTGCGGATCGCCTTGTGCGACCAGACCCCATGGCACGTCAACGGCACAGTGCAGGAGAGCATTATCGGTGCAGCAGTATTTGATCATCGGTGGTACTCGTCGGTTGTTCGGAGCTGCGCGTTAGATGAAGACCTCCGGCAATTACCCCAGGGTGATCAAACCGAGATCGGCAGCAAGGGTATCGCATTGAGCGGTGGTCAGAGCCAACGAATTGTAAGATACACCAACATGCACCCCTCTTTCCCTTTTTGGACATCACTGATCCTCATTCTTTCACAGGCGCTTGCCCGAGCAGTCTATGCCCAGAAAGACATCATCATCCTTGACGACTGCCTCAGTGGTCTGGACGGTCAGACTGAAAACCGCATATGGCACAGCCTCTTTGGCTACGAGGGGCTATTGAAGCGATGCAGGACCACTGTTCTTGTTGCATCTTCATCAGCCAAACGTCTGCCCTACTGCGATCATATCGTTTCTCTCGATAGCAATGGTAGCATTTCAGAACAAGGTCCTTTCGAGAAGCTGAGCAAGTCGGGAGGCTATGTATCAGGTTTTGATCTCGCACGTGCCGACTGGGACTACCGCCCAGAGAAGCACATCTACGAGGAGCCGCCCCAGTACACTGAGCGTCAAGTCACCGACACCCAACTCACCGAGGATGACGTCCAAGCGGAAGCGAACCGCCGTACTGGAGACACAGCCATCTACCTCTACTACATCAGTACTGTAGGCTGGATACCGACCATCATCTTCATCATTTCCATTGTGATCTTCATCTTCGGTATCTCATTCCCCACAGTTTGGGTGAAGATGTGGGCGGAATACAACGAAAACAACCCCAACGAGCGACTCGGCTACTGGCTGGGCATCTACGCTATGCTCGGTGGACTTGCCCTCTTCTTCCTCATGGTCAGTTGCTGGCAGCTCATCATTACGATGGTGCCTCGTTCCGGTGTCACATTTCACAAGAAGCTGCTGGATACAGTGCTCGCATCACCCATGTCCTTCTTCTCCACCACCGATACTGGAGTGACACTCAACCGCTTCAGCCAAGATCTCATGTTGATCGATATGGAGCTGCCCGTCGCCGCACTGAACACTTTTGCCACGTTCGTTCTGGTCATCGGACAGATGATACTTATCGCTGTCGCGGCTCCCTACGCAGCTATCTCCTTCCCTGTCGTCATTGTCGCAGTCTTTTTTGTGCAGAAGTTCTACCTGCGCACGTCGCGTCAACTCCGTTTCCTCGATCTAGAGGCCAAGTCGCCACTCTACACTCAGTTCAATGAGATACTAGAAGGCTTGGCCACTATCCGCGCCTTCGGATGGCAGAGCTTCGTCGAAGAGAAAGCCAAGGCACTGCTTGACCGCAGCCAGCGTCCTTTCTACCTTCTCTTCGCGGCCCAGCGATGGCTGACGCTTGTTTTGGACCTAATCGTCGCAGCAGTTGCAACGATTCTCATCGTTCTCGTCGTCACTCTCAAGGGCCAGCTCAGCGCAGGATATGTCGGCGTTGCACTACTGAACGTCGTACTGTTCTCTCAAAGCATCAAGTTGCTCATCTCCTTCTGGACTCAGCTTGAGACACACATCGGAAGTGTGGCTAGGATCAAGAACTTTACCACCGATGCCGTCGCAGAGGACCACGAGAGCGAGGATCACATTCCCGCCTCCAACTGGCCAAGCGCAGGCAAGATCGAGTTCAGAAATATCGAAGCATATCACCGACCCGGCGAACCCGTTATCTCAAATTTCTCCCTTTCCATCAATCCTGGAGAGAAGGTCGCCATCGTTGGTCGCACCGGTAGTGGAAAGTCATCGCTAGTCCTCTCACTCTTCCGCATGGTTGAGCTTTCATCTGGTAGCATCACCATCGACTCCGTTCCTCTTACCCGCATTCCTCGTCAAACCATCCGCAGTCGCCTTATCGGCCTACCCCAAGACGCATACCTGCTTCCCGGTTCGATCCGCCTTAACGCCGATCCCTTGAGCGAGTCTAATGACAAGGCCATCATGGCCGCACTGAAAGACGTGCAGCTCTGGGACATCATTGTGGCCAAGGGCGATGTCGACAAGTACGCGCATCCGCTAGACGTCGAGGTTGAAGACCTCCACTTCTCGCACGGACAGCGCCAGCTCTTCTGCTTAGCGCGCGCCATGCTCAAGAGGGACAAATCCACTGTGGTCGTCATGGACGAAGCCACTAGCAAGTAAGTTCATCACCCATGCCCTCTTAAATATCTCATCCTAACAATAATGCTTTAGTCTTGATGCTGCAAGCGACGCTCACGTCCAACGCCTCCTTCGCTCCCGATTCCCCCACCATACCCTCATCACCGTCGCGCACAAGCTCGACACCATCCTCGACTTCGACAAGGTCGTAGTCATGAACAAGGGTCAGCTCGTCGAGTACGGCTGTCCGCACAAGTTGTTGGACCGCCAAGGAAGCTGGTTCAAGAGCCTCTACGAAGATACCGCCGGAGGAGGAGACGTAGACGATGACGATGACGATGACGCGATAAACGTGTCGCGATAGGCATAAAGCCGGAATAATGCATGATTGTAATGGGGGGACTGGATGTTTCTTTTCACATATCTCTGAGGGTACGCAAAATGGTTCATCTAGTCATCACATTGGAGCGAAACGGTGTTAAGGCATAGCAGACTGCATTCATTTCTTTCCACCTCTATATATATATGAAGAAGCCAAGAGGTCTTCACCGCATACTGATCAGTCCATCATACTTCTAGAATATATTCTGTTAGATTTCACTTCCTCCACGAGAATCAAGACGCGCGTGAAAGCTCCACCACAACCTCCTGGCTCTGCTTCTTGAAGCCCTCCACCAGCCAGTCCTTGATACCGGCGATGACGTTCTCCGGATTGCCTTGAACAGTGTAGGCGGCAACCATATCGCTCTTGATGTACACCAGACGGACATGCTTTAGAGACTTATTGTTGAAGATCGTCTCCATCCCGAACCGACTGACAACATTCATGACCGATCTCGTCCTCCTCTCTTTGGACCTCTCCGGATCCGTCTGTTCCAGCTCCAGAAGCTGTCGCTCATCAAGCCTCGAATCCGTTACCGTAGATGTGTGAAGAGTAAAAGCCATTTCCTGCAGCTTGGGCAGATTCGAAGCGAGAGCGAGGAACGGGTTTGAATCGCGATTGTCGGTGATGCCAGAAAACCAGTGAAAGCCGTCCATGTCGACTTTGGGGATGTTCTTGTCGATGTCGGGAAGAGATTGCAGCATCTTGCTGATGAAGAAGGTGTCTGTGGTGGATGCGACGGTGAAGGTCAAAAGGCGGATGTAGGGAAGAACGGTGCTTTTCCATTCTTCTTCCTTTCCGGCGTTGAAAGTGATACCCTTTAGGAATTGAGGACGGGCGGGGTTGGCTCGGGGGGTGCTGGACTCGGCAGCGATGTCGATGGTGAAAGGGCCTAAGGAGATGGTATAATTAGCGTTGGTAGATACATTGGGGGAAGGAGAGGTGCATACCATCGCAGAAGATGTTCCAGACGGCGACGTTGGCGTCATTGGGGACAGAAACATGAGCGAACCGATTGCCCAGGGGGTCGCTAGTGGGGTTGGGGTTGTTGGAGCTAGACATGGTGAGGGCGTGAATAGCCTCTGAGTTGTGCTTTAGATATGGGAAGAAGCATTATAATATAGTGAAGTATGCCAGGCGGTGGGGTCTTGAAGTGTAGGTAAGGAGTCCAACTCTGGTGGTGGAAGAGGATTATTATATATGGCCCTAGTGCGAGACCAGACTACGTCGTGCTCACCTGCCATGATGCCCATGTGACAGGAGCGTTTGCTCGAGGTGGAGGACAGAGCCCAAGTTGGGGACGACGGAGAGACTAATCACGCGATCGATATATGACCAACAGAGCTATGTCTAGTATAGTCGAGAATGTGAGAGCGATGGCCTACTGGTAAATGCGCACTTGAGCGCTCTTTATACATGATCTATATTATATTGGCAATTGCGTCCAGTGTGCCCATGAGGCTCTGTCAGTATATCAAAGAAGACGTCATGGGCCACTTGCATGTGGTAAAACTCTCTCATTGCCGTTTGTATCCTCATTCACGTCAAGTCAGGGGACTATATCAGGTCGAGTTTGACATAATCGGTGCGGCAGCGGTGTGCAGAAAATGATGCATGGGGTTGACTATAGCAAACGCTCTGAGAAAACCGACTATCCACTGACGTCCGAGCCTCGGTCAAAGCTCCGTCTGATATCATGACAAACGTCGCATTGAGAGAACTGTCGTTGAGATCCAGCAAAGTGAGGAATGTGTGCGCAAAATCATCCGAGTCAAATGCGTTACTCAAGTGTCAATGGTGGTCTCTCGAAATCGACAACTAGGGATTCCAAGATTTGTTTCAGCAATAAGTACCGAAGCCAGACGGAATATAAACGTGTGTTGCTGTTCGCGGAGTAATCAAGACGGGCGGCGGGGCGTTATCTGACCGGCTAAATTTCGCTGCTGACATAACCCCGGCCGTGTCATGGACGCGACACGACACTCGGCGTTGGAAGGATCGTCGGAATGCCCAGAGTAATCGCGGACTCGTTTCACAGCCACGGGGCTGTTGCATGTCGCAGGGCACGCCCTACACACTCATGAACATCTTCACGATGATATCCAGCTAACGACAGGTACTATTGACTTTTACAGCTTGCCCCTTGCGACCTTGCTCTCGCGCCCTCACTCCTCGTTATCGTCGCGTCCATTTGGGGCCATTGGCGTGCGCGTCAGCCACATACCCGCCCCTCTTCGTTCGTATCGCCGTACGTCTACAAGCTATCGCAATGGCATTACAGTCGGGTCTACCGCGAGAATCCCTCGAGGAAGACGAAGCCCTCTTGACCCCGACAGAACCGGCCTTTCTTCCACCGCACAAACCAACCAAGAAGCCATGGGTGCTCCTTGTAGTACTCATCTTCATCATTGTTGCAGTCGTCGATGTCGGCTCCTACCTTGCCGAGCCACCTCTGACGCGTCTATTTGAGGAGAATCTCTGTCTCAAGTACTACCGCGAACAAGACCCTTCGGTGATAGATGGCGACGGAAACATACCAGAGCAGCTGTGCAAGGTGGATGTGGTGCAGCAGAGGCTCGCCACCATTTTTGGCTGGCAGGAGATGTTCAGCGCGATACCGGGCATTCTTTTGGCTGTACCATATGGCACGTGGGCAGATAAAATAGGTAGGAAATGGATCGTCACAGCGAGCTTGGCCGGATTGGACCTTGGCTTCATCTGGGTGATGGTGATAAGTAAGATGGCATTGCACAAATCACAAACACAATGCTAACGTATGGCTAGCCTACTTCAAGTCTCTCCCCTTACAGTTGACATGGCTCTCGAGCGCCTTTACGATAATAGGCGGCGGTCCAATCGTAGCCATGGCTATTGGTGTAACAATGATCTCCGACATTGCGCCCCCAGAACAGCGAACTACCATCTTCCTATACCTGACGGCCTGTGTTCTTGTTGCGGAGATGCTAGCGCCGATAATGGCAGCGAGGCTCATGGAGAGCGGGAACTGGCTGCCTCTGCTATTGTCACTAGCGATACAGCTTGTGGGGGTTGTTGTGGCTTTGTTCATCCCTGAGACGCTGCACTTGCGAGACCTGCCTGAACCCAAAGACAGCGGGGACCAGGTCTTCGAGCTACAGCCCACGCCGGCAACCAGCGACTTTTCGCTACGAGCACAACTCCGCAACTTCCGGGCTGCAGTGGACTTCCTGAGGAGTGATTGGACCTTGGGCCTTGTCGTCTTGACGTTTCTGGCCAACAGACTAGGCAGGCAGTGCATCTCGCTTCTGGTCCGTTATGCTTCGAAGCGTTACAACTGGGAGATCAAGAAGGCTGCCTACTTGCTCTCATTTCGCGCAGCTACCAACCTGGTGGCTGTCACTATCTTAATACCACTAGCGAACTACTTTCTCTTGAAGAAGCTGCGTTTCCCTGCACACTGGGCCGATCTCTGGATCGCACGTGGATCCATAGCTTTTACTACCATTGCCTTCTTCGTCATGGGTATTGCCGCACATCCTTCTCTTTTGATCATCGGACTTCTCATTTACAACATGGGAACTGGATACACCGCTGCTATGCGCTCCGTTGCGATACATGTGGTGGGCGGCCAGTCGAGTCCTGATATTGGCAAGCTCATGAGCACCATTGCGATTGCAGAGAGTATTGGCGCCATGATCGCGGGCCCACTGCTGAACGAGCTGTTTCAAGTGGGTATTGGCTTCGGCGGCGCCTGGCTGGGTTTGCCGTTCTTGACTTCCGTTGTGGTATTCGCGTTCATGGCTGTCGTGACGAATTACATCGATGTGGGGTATAAAGAGCCGTCTTATGTGCAGGTACATGATGAGGACGAGGAGGAGATACGGACAAGTGCGCTGGACCACGAAGATTTCGTTAGGCATAGAGACGTGCCATGATTCTTAGGTACATACAGACACCCTGATGCACATTTAGACATTTCGACTTTCCACGTCCGATACTGAAGGCTTTCTTTCCATTTGAGGCGCATGCCATCTTATCAAATTAGCAGGATTTTTTCAGAAAGGCGCATTCGAGAGATGATGGTATCTCCTGCCATGCGAAGCCTCAGGTCGCCGCTTCTTCCGCTGCATAAGCAGGTACGTCCAAGACTGCAACTGCCACAATAACGTGTGGCTGTTATGTCTTTCTCCCCACATATCCGGGTGCACCACTTCCCATACCATACTGTTGGCCGTGCCTCATTACCGCTGTTTCTGCTACATGCCGTCAACACGTCTTTAGCACTGCTTCGCTGAGTTGGCCGCACCCTCTTACCGCACTACTCCAGCAACCACAGTTTTATCCTGCCTCTCCGATGCTTGCTCGCGCGAATAGCGATGCAGGTACCCGACTCCGCCGGTCCAAGTCTGCCTCGACCGTCCACAAACGTCCCACTTCCATCGCCGAACCGTTGGATCTAGATGCGATCAAACAGCAGGCACTAGCTGCAGCTACCGCTGCCTTTGCTCGCGCGCAGGCTCAAGACGCGGCAGACCGTAACGCAAAACGCAGTGCCGAGCTCGCTAGATCGAAGAGTAACGCCAGCCGCAAGTCTCTCACCTCCCAGGGCAGCCACTTCCCACCTCGCGACTCGAGCTTCCGGTCTTTGCAGCGTCCGATTGCCGAGCAGAAGAGAAGTGCTCAACGCCTGTCTCAAGCTTCAGCAGACTCTACGGAACAGAACACAGAGCAATTTCCACCCTTCTATCCTACTCCCAGCGTGAATGGGTCGCTTTCCATACCGCAGTATCTATCGACGCAGCCTTCGATCACGTTCAGCGAAAATGCTAGACCTAGTTCCCAACCAAAGTCATTCCGACAGAGTGCTTCGTCCTCGATTACCTCGCAGCAGATACGGAAGGCACGTTCCATGTACTACGCAAGCAGTGTTCAGACCGGCTCACCGATTGCTCGGCCGCCATCCAAGTACCTTACAACGTCGCCTGTAGCAAGTATTAGCCCGGTATCAGAACCATCGCCCATACCCTTACCCTCTCGAACAATTCGGCCCTCACCACTGGCAGGCCCGCATATGCTGGTCACAGTCGGACCTGATACTACGCTTGACAAAGTACGAGATGAGTGTCTGCATGACTTTCAACAGAAGTCCGTGAAGCACAAGCCGTCGATGTTTCTAGCGCCCTTTAAGAAAAGACAAGACAAAGGAAAGGACAAGGGCAAGCGTGTCGCATCGGAAGCGCAGTCTGTCTCTACAGATTACCAGCAAAGACCCGACGAGTCGACGGTGGATCTTGCCTTGAGCGACTTCGTGCCACCCCACGAAATCAAGGAAAAGAGATCGTTCTCTGGCTCTCTCAAAAGCAAGATCAAGAAGGTCTTTCGGCGCACGTCGGGCAAGTCCATCAACCTTCCTGTTCAGCAGATCGATGCCAGCCGTGACTACTTCCATACCGCGCACTTCAGTCCACCTACTGCGAAAGACGGACTGAGTATTCCTCCGCCCAATGAAGAAACATTGAAGCGCATTCGTGCTCGGACGCCATCACTTGAAGGCGCTTACCCCGCATTTCTACGATCTGGATCCAGAAGCAACAGCACCGGAAGTGCACGGAGTAATCGAAGTCTTCATAGCGAAGCCAACGCTACGAATGTGTCAGCATCCCGAGTGACAAGCTGGGGAACTACCGCCACTAGCGATACGCTGACACAACGTGCCGTGAAGCGCATGACCGTTATCCATGAGTCCAGAGATAGTATTGGAAGCGAGGCAGATCGTGCGGCATCTATGAGTGCTTCAAGAAGGAAGTCGCTGCCTCACCCACCTCTCGCCGCTTTCCGCGACCCCATGCCTATGGAAATTCTCACTGAAGAGTCACTAACGCCTGTCGATGCCAAGCGTGTCTTTTCAGCATTGATGAAGGAGATTGGGTCGTCGAAGTCACAAAAGTCTTCAAGCCCGGCCAAGCGAACACCGGGCGCAGAAAGCGATGTTTTTGAGTCCAGTACCACCAAGCTCTTTTCTCATACGCGAGAGTTGCATTCCAGCGGAAGCCGAAACCTTCTAAGCATTATCGATTCAGAACAGCGGCCGCCATCACGACGACCGGCTACATCTCAAAGTACTCAGAGCAAGACCAGCACGATCAGGTCTTTTGGACGGGCGATTAGATCCACCATCCGCACAGTCACTCCTCTTGGACAGCACTCGTCCCCTGATCCAGGCCCTATCAGTCGTGTGGATGGTGCAAAGGGAGTACATCGAAGAGAGGATACAATGCCTTCGCCAGGCACCACGCCTGAGTCTGATGATAGCCAGACCGATAGTGATGGAGTTGAGCGCAATTGCGCCGTTCAAATGTTTACTCCAACGGCATCGCAAATTGAGAAGCGAGTAGAGAGAGCCAAAGAACGATGGAAGACTCCTCTGGACGAAGCCGGGTATCTCCAGTTCCCGCGTGAAACTGACAGAACTTACGATGTCGCAACGTTTGTTCAACGGACTGGAGAAAACACCAAATCCGCTGTTCAACATGAAGAGCAGGTCGAAACGACTTCACGTGGTATCGCCGATCAGTATCTACGTAGACTACCAGTTTCGCCAAGGGTGTCCGTGTCACAAGCTTCTCACACTGCCATGACGCCAATGTCTCCCAGCATCTATTCACGGAACACAGATGGGGTCAGCATCCTTCCGAATGACAGTGTCATGTCTTTCGGTGGACCTGGTGAGGCTGAGCGATCTCACGACGGCGGCTCAGCAGTCGTTTCAACTAGTCAGTCAATAAGAAGCTTCGTTGTAGGGACGCCTTCTCCCCATCGTCGCGAACCTACTCGGACTAGTCGTGACTGGAGGGCTTGGCTGTCGCATGAGATCTCTGGTATGGAGCTCACCAGTCAAGAAGATCTGAGGATTCATGATCGTTTTACCACTCCGTCGAAGAAAGTTGGACCAGACTCGAGTCGTACGTCTCATACGGAGCATGAAGATACGACAGTGGTTCTTAGGGGATCGCTCGATGTTATCACTCCGCGACCGTATGCCGAGGATACGAGTGACAAAACTGAACCGACTGTTGACCGCGTGGAAGACCTCAACCGTTGTCACAACGATGGCGCAAATGTTGCGAGGTCAGACGCCAAGCAGTCTTCTTCGCACACTGGCACTCGCGACGGCACACACACCCCACTCCTACAGATCGGTGATCCTAGGAAGCTCATGGAACACCCTCAGCCCGAATCAAAGTTCCTTTCGAACAAGCAGCATCTACTGCCAACACCCGAAGGTCACGCATCTGGAACGCTCTCCGCATTTGAAACACCAGAGTTGCCTTCAAGAAATGACCGGTTCTCCTTCCTTAATACTGGCCGGCGCTCCAGCAGCAACAGTCTAGTCTCGCCACATGTTGAATCACTCACCAACACAAAGTCGCCAGTGAGGACCCAAACCTCGCCCAAGTCAACACCTGGTTCCAAAGGCACCAACAGTACATCCGCTCCAGCCACCAACGAAACTACACAGCGTGTACCAATCACTACCCTAAAGAGGAGCCCCGCGCGGAAGGAGAATGTCACTCCTCCATCCATCCGCAGTCAAAAGAACCCTGCTGTCTCTCCACTAGGTCTATCAACGCGACCAAACTCGCAGCAACTACTATGTACACCCCGCCGTGACTCACCCAGCACTAACGTTCACACCCTTGAAACACCATCACCAAAGAAGAACGCCAGCTCAGCAGAAATGACAACGCCCCTCCGTCCCCGCATCCGCGCAATATTACGGCCCATGTCTCCCGAAAAGCTTGCTCGTAGACCACGAAGCGCCTTCGACCTCCGCGGCACCAACAACACAGGTCGCCCGACTGTCATAGACTTGGACAACTACTCTCCACTTCCTGGTTCAGAGCTCCGCCGTCCAGCACTGACGCTGAAGAATTCGACCAGCTCGTTGGCTATGAGTAAGGAACCGCATCCTGAGACCAGGGTTTCTGTTGGGAGAGGTATTGAGAGTGTGCTTGATGGTGGAAGAGAAGCAAGAGATGGGAGTGTAACGCCGGGTCAGCGAATGGCAGAAAAGTTCCTAAGGCAGAGAAAGAGTGAAAATGCTTTGTCACCAGGTGGCAGTGCGGGAAAGCAGAGCCTGAGGGGCGGGTTGGTGTTGGTTAGGGAGGATACGCCTGCGTTCTTGTGACCTTACTGTTATGTAGACATATATGTATCACGACAGAGATATGAAGATGGGGCTGTTTGGATACACGTAAGGGCGGAGATGCCTGGGATTGGGGTGGGTACTTGGGTTGGATGGCATATGGATGCTTTGGGGCGAAGTCGCTTTTCTGGTTGGTTACTAGGTATGGTATATGCCCGGTATTTTGTAGTTTTTCTCGTATCAATGGACGTTACATATTTGCTCGTTCATGTTTAGTTATGCACAACTAGAGAATTACATATACATGTTAACAGGGTATTTTACTACAAAGGAAAAGCGCTGATGTTGAATCCACCTCTTCTCTTTCCTCCCAACCATCCATGCTCTCATCCCACGCTATCACAGCAACTCCCCCTCCTCATCCAAACCCCCCTCGTCCTCCTCTTCCTCGAAATCCATATCCGCCGCCGCCTCATCCGCCTTCCTCTGCACCTCCTTCAGTCCACTCATCTCCTCGACCCAACCCCGCTCATTCAGCGCCCTGGCTACAAACTCCCACGGATCCTTGTTATACGCCTCAAGCACTCTGTCACTACACGCTGAACAGCAGTCGTAGGGTTTACCTTCGACTTGGAGGTTTGAGAAGGTGGATAGGTAGCCTCGTATTGTGTGGGGGATTGTACCGAGGGGGTGTTGGAAGGGTGGTGGTAGGGCCGGGTGTGAGGGTGCAGGTGCGGGTGTGGTGTTGTTTTTGGTTTGGACGGAAGGGGGTGGGGCGCGGGCTTGGGAAGGGTGTTGCAGGATAGACATGAGGAGTTCGACGAGGAGGGAGGAGGCGAGGGGGGCGACGCCGGGGCGGGTTACGGTGCACTGTTGGTCGAGGGTCGCGTTGCTTAGGGACTGTTTTGCTGGGGTTAGCGTTGTGTATCTAGTAGAGCGAGATGAGAGAACTTACATCTGCAGGCGCAACCACGTCGTTGCAGAAGTAACATCCTAGTTCTACTTCTCCGCTTCCTTCTTGTGATGTCTTCAGGCCGTGGCGCATGACTACATAGGTGTCGAAGCCTAGTGCTGCGTTGAGGACGATCTTGCCGTAGGCCTTGCCCATGACGGTTGGTAGCCATCTGCTCTCTCGTGTGTCCATGAGCAGGAAGATGGCGTCGTGTTCGCTGATGAGCTGCTGTAGCTTCTCGAACTCGGATTTTGTCTTCGCGCTATCGGTCATTGGGTGACCCAGCATCGGTACCTCCATGACATGTCCTGTCGCGTCGACGCCTGGGTATATCTCTTGTAGAGCCTCTGCCGCTCTTTCAGCCTTCTTTGCGCCACCTTGTAAACAGTCGTTGAAGTTGAAGAGAGGCTGTCGTACGGGGTTGGAGAAGCTGACTGTGGCGTTGTCGATGAATGTGATCTTTCTTACACCCCATCCCATCAGCGTTCTTGAGACATAGGTGCCTAATGTTCCCGCTCCGAGCAACAGACACTTGCAGTTCTTGATGACGTCCAAGTCGATGGTAGGAGCTATTCGCCACTTGATCAGCTTGAGGTTGAGGTCCACAGCCTGATCTGCCAGTTTGCGCTCGTCCATGTATTCAGAGAGGTCCACATTGCGCGACGTCAGTTTACCTGATTCTGTCCGTTCCCAGCCCGTTACTTTGGGTAACTTGGGTGTCTGTGGGCGAGTGTCTGGTGTTTCGGAGGTGGCCGCTGCTTCGGGTATCGGGTCTGAGCGTAGTTGTAGGATCAAAGAGTTCGACTGGTCACGCCGTGTGTGGGTGTCGCGATAACACATGATTTGAGCGTCGTTTAGATGCCACCGATCTCGCATCAGGACGAGCAGATTGCGAAGGGGCCAGCCTGGGTTGGTTTCGTATGTGGAGGGGTCCGCGAAACATATGAAGCGGTCTTTGCTATCCACCTTGTCGAAGAAGCCCTTCTCGTAGGCTTCCAATCTGCCTATAGCCCATATATATCCGAATTCTTCCAGGGGGTTGACGGGCGTTTTCGGTCTCTCCTCTGGATCACCGCCTCCTTGTATGCGCTTGGCTAGGAAGAAGCCTCTTTGACGAACATCTGAGCTGTATCGCCAGGTCTGCACCGCGTCTACCAGGTATGTAGTCTCTCTAGCGTGTAGTCTTGTTGCCTCGCCAATCTGCTTCCACGGTGGATCTGACTGTATGGCGGGGAAGCCGAAGTGATATGTGAACTTGTACTTCTTGAGGTTGGCGAAGATGATGGCTGTGAAAGAGGAGAGGAGGGAGGGGCACTCGTATATGGAGCCGTCGTGGATAGCGTCCCATATCTATGCCGCGTCAGTTCTGCTCGCAGGGAGAGATGATGGACGTACTGTTTGGGCGCATCGTTCGAGTATGGCGGCGCGATCAAGACTCTTGTAGTCTTCTATGGTGTTGCAGTTCTTGATGATGCCTTCGGCGCGGCAGAATGTGGGAGGGGTATCGTCTGATGTCAGCGCATTCGGGTGTATCTGGACCCGCATAGATCGCGACGAGTGCTCCCCAGGACGGACTTCGTACAGCCCGAGCACCTTGCGCGCGGAGTCGTCGAGTTTGTCATGGTTGATTTTGATGTGTGCTAGAGCGGCATAGAACTGTACGTCGACATCACTCAGCCAGGGCGCAAACTTGAGCGTGGACATGGTGGGTGGTGATAGTACGTGGTGGGGTTGCGATGAGACGGGAGTGAGGATGCGTGGCGAGGCGGACGAGATGTAATCTAGATGATGGCAGTCATACGTGCAAAAGCAATACACGTGCAGCGGTCAAGGGCGCATGCATGTGACAGTGAATGTCCCAGTGATGCTGAGGCAGCCGCACGCTTCACCCCGCGCGATGTCATGGGTCCAGCCCTGGAGCCCTGGGCGAGGCCCCGCCACGCTAGCACGCGTTCCTGCAGCCGCACCACGCGCTTAGCCGCTGTTAGCAATCCGAGATTCGATCCACGAGTCCGCCCTTGCTGTTCGAGATCACAGCACATTTGGACGACGTCTATCGCTATGCTTATTGGATTGTGCGGAGGCAAGCACCGTCAGAGATTGCATGAGACGAGGCTGACAGGGCACAGGAATATGCGCGGGCAAGTCGTCGATAGCTTCTTACCTCGTTGAGGAGCACCAGTTCACCCGCCTACGCCTGGCCCGAACTGCTGAGACGCCTCCAGAGGAGAAGTCGGCTTCCAATACACGTGTTCCTTCGCCGGTGAAGTCGTCCGTCGAAGCGAAGCATATCTTCCCGAACGTCGATTCGCTACTCGACTTCGTCACGTTGAGATGGAGGGAACGATTCGTTACAACGGACATTTGGGACGAAACGGTGGTCGATGCCCTCCTCAAGCGTCCCTTTTTCCTCCTCGTCAGCGTAGACGCGCCTGTCAGTGTGCGATGGCAGCGGTTCAAGGCCCGATGTGCTGCCACCGACCACACACCGCCTACTCTCGAGGAGTTTGTTCTACGCAATGACAAACACCTGTTTGCTCCCAGGACAGGCTTGAGCGCCCTCTTTCAGAGAGCACAGCTGAAGCTACTCAACTCGTCGTCCGACATGGCTTCCCTCCGCAGTGCCATACTCTTCCTCGACCTCATGGACGAGGCTCGCGTACGGCCCAGCTGGGACCAATACTTCATGCAGTTGGCAGATCTGGCAGCTCGTAGGAGCAACTGCATGAAGCGGCGGGTCGGTTGCTGCATAGTGCGAGAGAAGCGTGTAATCAGCACCGGGTACAACGGTACCCCACGTGGCATGACCAACTGCAACGAGGGCGGATGTACGTTCATACTCGGAAATCTGCAGGAAATCGACTAACAACATACAGGCCCCCGCTGCAACAACGCCGCACAGGGAGGGGTTGGCCTCTCCACCTGCCTCTGCCTGCACGCCGAAGAAAACGCCCTCCTCGAAGCCGGCCGCGACCGCATCGGCGAGAACGCCATCCTATACTGCAACACATGTCCCTGCTTGACCTGCAGCGTCAAGATAACACAAGTTGGTATCAGCGAGGTGGTCTACAACCAAGGCTACCTTGTGGACGACCAGACGGCCAAGATCTTTACTGAAAGCGGCGTCAAGCTGCGTCAGTTCTCGCCGCCTGCAGACGGATTGGTGGATCTGAGTATCGGCGTGGGCGCAGCCAAGCAGGAAGAGGACAAAGCAGAGGATGCCCGGGAACTCCTCGATGATATGAACTTCCTCCGGCCTGTGGACAATTAGAAGAAGCTATCGGGATAGACAAGCCAGATAGAAAACAAGCTATCCGACCCACATGTAGTCAGATGGAGACAACCGCAGGCGGCGCGTGGTGGCGCATGGCGGCGTTGCTCTCATGGCGTACGCCTCACAAGGCGCGACCGCATGCTAAAGGCCACTACATGTCTTGTGCAACGACACCACGTCAAGTCCGACATCTGCAGACCTTCTGTTGGTCATCATTGCGATGCGCATCTTTCCAAGTTCGACATGCTAGAGTTGGTATTTGGGTACCGACGATGAAGGGTTTGCTGCAAGAAGGGCTGGTCATAGCATAGCCTTGCCGGGCAACACCGCCACGGCCAACGCGACCGTCAGCAATGCTTCGGTTCGCCCGCGTGGCCCTTCTCATATCAACAACCTCAAAGACGCGCAATACTTACACTTCGCATTCGGCCCATGACGTTTGACCTTGAGTTCCTTAACTCGTGTTGCTTACTTCTCATTTCCCTGAAGTTTAACAAGCTTCGGCCCGCCTCGTCGGGTTAAACTTGGGCCTGATGACGCGCGCACGCGGCGCGGTACCAATACTGCCACTATCACAGTCACCGCCACACGATAGCTGCATAATTCTTTCGTCAATCGCATTACGAAGACACATCGGAAAAAATACCGCTTGTCGTCGTCTATGTGCCTATGGTGACCGTGCTATCATACTCCGATCCACAAGCTTGACCAAGCCTCGACAAGCATCCGCTTCCGAGGCTTACACTCTGAGCTGGTCTGGGCACATTGGATGCACTAAACAGAGCCGCGACGAATCAAAGCCAGACACCATGCAAAAGTCTCGGTCTAATCTTCGTATAGTCCTGCTTCAGGAAGGTGCCTAAGGTTGTTCTTCTGTTTGCACTGCGTCATCTTGCATCTCTCGCTCTTCGGCTACGAATCTCAACGCGATAGCATACCCTGCACGACCCAGAGAGTGGCGTTTGCGAGGTTTATTACCGAGCCTTGCTTATGCCTCCGCCAACCTCCTGCTGTTCCGGGGTAAGCGCAAGGGTCTGTATACCGCAATGCCGTCACGTAGTAAACGTTCAAATACTCGCCCTGGGCCCGGTTCTTCCTTGCCAGCTCACAGCCGCTTTCATCAGTCAATTTCAAGATGAAGCTCCTTTCAGTGGTTGGTTCTTTGCTGTGTGCTTCTACAGCTCTTGCTGGAAGCTCGCCACACAAGCGTGGTGTGTTTGAGAAGGTCAGGCCTGCTGTTGAGAGGCGCATGCCGGGAGAGGCTTTCAAGCACCCTGAGATTCAGAAGCGTGCCGAGAGCTTCTTCTTGACCAACAAGACTGAGTGTCAGTATTCGTCGTCATACTATGACACATTAAACTAATAAGCCCGTAGCCTTTGCCGTCAACGGTACTGGTATCCCAGAGGTTCCTTTCGACATTGGCGAGAGCTACGCTGGTCTACTGCCCATTTCGGATGACCCTGAGGAGACTCGAAAGCTCTTCTTCTGGTTCTTCCCCTCGACCCAGGCTCAAACCCCCGAGGAAGTTGTCATCTGGCTCAACGGTGGCCCTGGATGCTCTTCGCTCAGCGGTTTCCTCACGGAGAACGGCCCGTTCACCTGGGAATCTGGTACCCTCGCACCCGTCCAGAACCCCTACTCATGGACCAACCTCACCAACATGCTCTGGGTTGAGCAGCCCGTAGGTGTTGGCTACTCGCAAGGTACCCCCAACATCACCGATGAGGTTGAGCTCGGCAACCAGTTCCGTGGTTTCTACAAGAGCTTCATTGACCTCTTCGGACTCTACAACTGGAAGACCTACATCACCGGAGAGTCTTACGCCGGTTACTACGTCCCCTACATTGCCGACAGCTTCATTACTGCCGATGATGACAAGTACTTCAACCTTGCCGGTATCTCCATCAACGACCCCATCATTGGTGACGAGACCATCCAGCAACAGGTTGTCCTCCTCCCCTTCGTAAACTTCTGGCAAAACCTGCTCTTCCTGAACGACACGTTCATGGAGCAGATCACCCAGCACCACAAGGAGTGCGGTTACACCGACTACATGGACAAGTACTTCACCTTCCCACCACCACAGGGCGCTTTCCCTGTTCTCCCCGACCCATACAGCTCGGAGAACTACACCTGCGACCAGTTCGACAACTTCTACTCCGCCATTCTCGAGGTGAACCCCTGCTTCAACATCTACCACATCACCGAGACATGCCCGCACCCATACTCCCAGCTTGGCATAGTCAACACCGGCGACTACTCGCCCCCAGGTGCCGAAATCTACTTCAACCGTACCGACGTCAAGATGGCACTCCACGCCAACGTCAGCACCGAGTGGCTCCAGTGCACCAACACCAACGTCTTCGGCAACGGCGACGACGAAGGTTCCGACGCCTCTCCCGGCCCCGCCAACAACGGCGTCCTCCAGCGCGTCATCGAGTACACAAACAACACCATCATCGGCTCTGGCGACCTCGACATGCTCCTCAGCACAAACGGAACCCTCTTCGCCATCCAGAACATGACCTGGAACGGCGCCCAGGGTCTCTCCGAGTACCCCACCACCCCTCTCTACGCACCCTACCACCCAGAGTACAACGGCGGTGCGCTTGCCGGCGCCGGTTACCAGGGCTACTGGACTGCGGAGCGTGGTATGATGTTTTACACTGCCCGTCTTGCTGGTCACGAGCTGCCCGGCTACACTCCCGGTGTTGCGTACCGCATGTTGGAGATTCTCCTTGGACACATCAAGGACTTTAGCAGCACTGAGAACTTTATTACGCAGACTGGTAACTTCACTGGTACTGGTACTATCTACAGACGCGGTCTGGGTATGGGTAGCATGGAGTTTTAGATGTTTGAGAGGAGAACATGATGATGTGAAGGGTGTATAGATACCAAATCTAAATGATGTTTCAATGCTCTATTTGTGCGCCAGTTGATTTGTGTGATTATTGTGACGGGGTGAAGATGCATAGAAATATATTGGTGATTGCTCGGTGAGTAACATGGATACGCGCGTGTCGTGCTGTGTTTCTTTCATGCGCGCAGTCATACAACAGCCACATATGAGCACGACGACTCACCCCATCCAACAAATCGACCAACATCCCTCAGCCAAAACAATCAGCAACGACCCTCTCTCGCCAATTCTGCACGCGCATAGACATTCACCCTGAGCAAATGTTTCAAAACACTCCAGTCAAAGTACTCGCACATCATCAACCTCCAACACCCTACCCCTCTTACGCATAAACCCCATCCCGGCCACACATCCTCGTTATCGATACCCAACAGCCACGATCCTAGTGCGCATGAACGTCAGTCGCGTCTGAGACAGGGCCGAGCTAGGATGTTGTCAAACAATGCGCCAGTTAGATCCCGGCTGTCAGTGTTTCGTAATCGGCCACCTCCACATTGAGCGAGTAGACAAGAGTATACATGACCATTTAGGATAGTGGAAGGAGATTATTCAGGGTATTGGGATGTAGAATTGGAGGATGTGAAGATGGGTATGGGTATTGAAGGACGCGTGGGTTGCGGGGGCTGTGCTTGTAGAGCTTGGAGGCGGCGTGGTGGGTTGAGGGTATGTAAAGAGCGAGATGGGAGCGGAATGGGAGCAAGACACTGCTCTTCAGTCATTCATTCATTCATTCATTCATTCTTTTCCGATAGTAATCGGCCCACAGTCTTTTCCCCTTATTCGATATGCCGTCTTTTGCCTTCTGGAAGAGCAACAAGCTGGATCCGTCCAAGGCACCATTGCTCACCGAAGGTACGGCGACAGAAGACAACAACATCGGTATCCCATTGGTACCAAGAAATCTGGATCTTAATCCCGATGGCGAGGATTCTGGTGTTTTTCTCTTCGACGAAGATGCGCTGCCGCTGGAGCATGAGCAGGTGTTGGAAGCTGTGCCTCTCATCGCAACTCCGCCTCCTGAGGAACGGGAGCCTTTGGTGCGAGAGCCTGAACGAGATGTCCAGGTGCCGGTCAAGAACTACTCGAAGAAGCTGATATTGGACGACAAGGAGGAGGCACCAGCACCGCCACCAAAATCGTCGCCATTGAGCCAGCCTCAAGGCATTGCTGCGACAGATAGACTCCAGCTTGCTGCAAAAGAAGAGTCAGCTGCAGTCCAACAGCTGCAGGAAGCCGTTCCGCAGCAAGCAAAGCCCACGCCTTCCCCTTCTGAGCACGATCAAGACAGCGCACTTAAACGGCCAGTGTCTACCGCAGCTATCAGTGCCACACAATCCCGCGACCGAGACTCTGGTGTGTACGTCTCCGACGACGACATTCTACCACCACAGTCACGACCCACGTCTCTCGCTCTAAACGAGTCCAATCAACAGTCAAGAAACTCATCCATCTCTTTGAAACACACTGCTTCAACGTCGACCTCTTCACCCCGCCAACACACAGACTCAATTGCCCGCCTGAAACGGCCTGCAGAGCTGAACCTAGGAACGAACCCCGTGTCCGACTCCTCCAAGCCACGCTCCGAGCTCGAGAAGCGGTACGATTTGATCCGCAATTCAAAGACGCAATCGAAAGCTGCTCTGCGGTCGCCTACAGCACTGCTACAAGAGCGATTGAACATGCCTGCGAAGAAGGAGAAGGTCGAAGAAGAGAAGACGCGCGTATTCACACCGCCACCGCAGACGACGAATGGGTGTTGGCTACCAGGTCCAGGCGCGCAGGTACACGCTTTCACCAGCACGTCAGTGCGTGCGCGGACTGAAGCTGGTAATCGACCGGCATGGTGGTGTAAAGTCGACAAACTCGTTGTGTTTGATGGCATCGATGCCACTAGCGATGGAGATATGAAAATCCACACTCGCACAAGCAAGGGTCTTAGCATTGCGCGACGACGTGGCGATATGGAGACGATCGTCATTCCGATGGACTGTGCACATTGTCAGGAGATGCTCAACCGTCATGAGTGGAAGTACGACATGCGCGTGTGCAAGAGGAGTGTGTGCTGGGATTGCAAGGACAGGTGCAAGTGGGAGTTGGAACAGGAGAAGCTTGCTTCTGAGCAGACAGCGGCCAGAGCGGATGGCAACAGATATCGCGCGGATAGCGTGTTGCAGGACGAAGGACTTGAAGAGGAGCATTTGATGCAAAAGGTCGGCATTGAACAACATCGGCCAATGAGTCCGATTCAAGCTATCGGTGGCATTGAAGAAAGACTGAGAGTTTAGAAAGGTCGTGACTCGAGGCGGGAATATCAAGACGGCTGGAGAGACAGGAAAGAGAACGTAGCAACCTACATCGTGAGCCGTTGACCGGCTGTAGCAATGGCCAAGTATCATGGTACTATGCAATTATATCCCTCCACTAATGACACTACATGTCAGTCGTTTACCTCAGTCGAGATCCATAGCGTCGTCCATATATTCAAAAGGCGTATCTTCAATCTCCATGCTTGTGTATCCGTACGTCGTCTTAGGCTCGAAGTCCCGACTGGTCAAAGCACCGTTCATAGTACCATCGGAATGCTGCTGCACTGCTTCGTGAGCAAGGCCACATCCACCAATGATATTGCGCAACATATGCTCTAGTCGTAAGTCCTGAAGCGACATATTCGCGCGCGCGTCGCCGTTGGATACGTTCGCCTTGCTATCAGCATCTTTCCACGCATTACGGTACTCCTTCGCAATGCCCAGTTGCACACGAACGTCCTGTAGACCCAACGACCCTGCCAATGGACTTTTCTCGTCATCTAAAGCTTCTAGAAGGTTCGCGTGAAAGGCATGTGAAGCCATCGGTCGCGTTCGATGCAGATCGGGATTGGTTTCGTAACGTAGGGCGTTGAAGTTTGTGCGCGGCGCAGAGGCGGAGACGGAAACACCGAAGATGGCGAGACAGTCTGTGATGTAGCGCTCGAGCAGCGTGTAGAACTCGAAGAAGTCGACTTTAAACATGGATTCGGCTTGTTTCTGCGCCGTGTCAGTTTCGCGACGGTTGGGGTGACGGGGCTGATAGCCACTTACACTCGATGCGCCGCTTCCCATTGCGTGTTGAGATTGGTGGTACTCATTCTCCTGTGCAGTTGCCTGTACGATCTCCATAGTACGAAAGTAGGACACCATAAGCATCTCGGCCTTCCAGCGGACGCGCCCTAGCAGACGCGTGACGCGATCTTTGTCCTGCTTGAGCTTCTCGGCTTTCGATTGTGCCAGACTCTCAGCAGGCGTCTTTGGCGCATACTTGGATGTCTTCATGGTGCCCGTAATATGTCTCGTCTGAGTTGGGGTAATGCTTGAGATGAGCTATGAAGGTAAGCGGTAATCGGACAATCAACTACCCAGTAATCGATAAGCACCGGAAGAATGATGAGATCTATCGTTTCGAGTACATCGAGCTTTCACGGCGCTTTCACTACTCAAGTCAGGCATTGTATGGGCTTCAGTGTAGGCGCGGACTGTTGCGGACGTTATGGGCAAGCAAACTGAAGTACATGGTTCACGCCGAGGCTGTTGCTGACTCAGCTCACACCTGGACAGTCGAACACCTGGGACTGATCCCATTTCCGATCTAGCAGGTTGCAGCTGTGCCGCAGCCACACATCTGGTTGACATGTAAGTGGTGAATGAGGTCTGTTTATATGCCGTCCACGCTCGATTGATATGATACCATCTACGATGTCTGCCTTTACGATGGTGCGCGCAACTCGAAAGCGAAAGGCTGTCAGTTATGCCGACGACGATGCATCATCAGCCACTCCCAGCACGTCTCGAGCGAGTTCCAGTGAGTCTGCTCGTCATATACACAGTCACACGGGGAAATCACCAACATGGCACTTCCCTCGCACCAAAGTTGTCAACAGATGAGTCTGATCGACGCAAAACGTTCAATGCCCTATTTGAGACGACCTGATGTCATACAAATGTAACGCGACAACAAAGGGCTTGCTAAACTACCCAATCCACCACATCGCATCATCATCATCTCATGAGACATGCTGGTTCCATAACCCCTCAAACGCCATGCCTTCGAAGTTTACCTAAAAGGTACCAACGACCCTCTTAACCATCTTCCTCATACCCTCACCACTGATCTGCACAGCGCCTTCGAGTTCGGCACTACGCAGCACCTCAAGGAACTCCTGGTTCTCGACCTGTTCGCTAGCGCCTTCTCGCACCTTCTTGACTAGGTCGTTCATACGCACACTCTGACCAGCAGAGCCGAGCTCGTCAAGCGATGCGAGCACCGCACGCTTGAGGTCTTCTTTCCTGCGGCGGTCGCTGGTCGATGTACCTTCGGTGAGAAGCGACATGTCAATCAGACCGGTGCGTGCATCCGTAGCCGCTTGCTTGAGCGCCGACTTGATGAGACGGACAGCCTCGTGGACGTCATCGGCCGTGACTTCCTCGGATAGGCGCATCTTGGCGTGAGCTTCTGCGAGACGGATCATGGATTCCAATTGACGTGTGGTGGCTGTGATTCTTCGTTCTTGCGAGCGAATGTCAGCACCAAGGCTGCGCATCGCGACGTATGCATCAACGAGAGCCTTCGATGCGGGCTCGGTAATCTTGGGGTGAATGTTCGAGCGCGCGTAAGAGATGTAGGCAGTCAAAAACTCAATAGGCATGACCTCATTCTTGTTGGCATTCTCGGGCGTGTCCTCAAGATACATACCGACCAAATGGCGAGCCATGCGACGGTCGTTCTGCTCATCGATGCGATCCAAGACGAGATATACTAAATCGAAACGCGAAAGCAGTGTGGGCGGAAGATCGATGTTTTGGGGAACAGGAAGGTTGACGTTGTACTTCGACCCGATGGGGTTGGCAGATGCCAGAATCGAGGTACGAGCGTTGAGGGTGGTGATGATCCCAGCTTTGGCGATGGACACTGTTTGCTGCTCCATGACTTCGTGAAGAACGGATCGCGTTGCCTCCGACATCTTATCGAACTCGTCGATGCAGCATACACCACCGTCAGACAATACCAAAGCACCAGACTCAAGCACAAGCTGTCTAGTCTCGGGATCGCGAGTGACGTATGCAGTCAGACCAACTGCAGAGGAACCTTTTCCGGAGGTGTACACACCGCGTGGTGCGATCCTATGTACGTACTGTAGAATCTGAGATTTGGCTGTAGACGGGTCACCACACAGGAGGACGTTGATGTCGCCACGGTATTTCGGACTGCCACCCTTCTCGAATTGCTTGTTGGTTCCACCGAAGAGTTGAAGCAGGATACCCTTCTTCACGTCGTCCATTTCGTAGATGCTGGGCGCCAGCGAGCGGGAGAGGAGATCGTAAACGTCAGGACGAGCGCCAGTAGTCTTTATCCTCTCCTCCTCCTCTTCAGAGACCTTGCGAGTCTCTTCTATGTCACCAGCTGCGTGCTCCGCAAGCTCCTCTTCGATTGTCGATACGTCAATGCCCATTCGCTTCTTGTCGACTTTCTGAATGTGAAGAGCGTCGACGTAGGTCTTGAAGATGTTCTTTACCGATCGCTGCCGCGGGTTGATACGGACTTGGTTGCATTTGAAAATACCAGTTATCTCGACGCGGTCACCAGCCTTGCAAACATCGACGAGTTCATCGTATGCACACAATGATACCGAATGAGGTGTTTGACCGTCCGGCATGTCATCTGGTGTCTCCTGTAGCTTGATCACCTGCTTGTTCGCGAAGCCGGAGCGGTTGTGCACGATCTGCATCGAGTTTGGCGAGTCGCATACGGCACGCGGGCACTTGGTGGGCTCGGTAATCTTGCCACGGTCAATGTCGACTCTGACGGTATGATTGCATACGGAGCAGCGAAAGAAGGCTAGCAAGGTTAGCAGGAGACTTTGGACGTCCTTTGGTTTGACTTACCATCCTTCATATCCGGGATGATGGGCGTGGTCCTAATCACCAGACCCTTTACACTGACCAGCTTGTCCATATCGCCAGGGTTGAGTTCACGCAAGTTGATTGTGTGATCAAGACCAAACGGCCTGACATTGTACGTCTTTTGGTCGACCTCACTGACCAGATTCGGGATCTCTGCGAAAGGAGCCGGAGACGGAGCGCCAGGTGTAGGGGCATCGGAGCTCAACATCGGCGGGAGGGAGCTCGAGTCACGAGCCCTGGGCTGAGCAGCACGCTGTGCTTGTGACATCTGGGTTCGCAATTCTGCCATGCGCTTCTCAGCAAGTTCGAGCATAGTGTCCTTGATCGCCACGTCCATGATGGGGATGATTTCGTTTGGATAAGCCTGCAGTTGATGCCAGAGTTTCCTTGTCGGCGGATAGGACTTGAGATTGCGCGCGTCCAGGTTCAAAGGCGTGACACCAAGCTCCAGCATCATCTTCATGATATCGACATATTCCCTGGCCATGGCCGGGTGACTGTCCGGAAGACTCAGGCCTTCGGCCAGCTCGCCATCCTGAACCATGCGATACTTCCTTCGGAAGTTCATCAAGAAGTCTCTCATGGCATGTCTGGCATCTACAAGCGACACGTTGGTTCCCCAAATGACTCGAGTAGAGTTGCCGCCCAAGACGTCTGCATCTGATGTGTCGGGATTGATGTTGGAGAAGGTCGGCGCGTCCGAAGCCTCCTGTACTGGCATGCCATTCTCGTCGACAAAGAGCCTGCGCCGGCGATTGGTAGAGCTGGTGCCGAAGACGTCTGAGTGAATATCGCTTCGTCGATTGCGGGCTGCGGACTCGGAGCCGCCTACGAAAAGAGCGCTGCTACTGCTTCCAGGGACATTGCTCTGGGCATTGCGGGCTCGGCCAGGGCTAGAGGAGGATGCGTAGTGGATGGGCGATGAATCTGAGACTATTAGCGGTGCATCCTGGGGCTCATCTCAACATCGACATACCCCCAATTGTCATGGCAGACGCCTTTGGTGTCGCACCGCCATCACTCTCTTCGTCGCCATTCGCTGGCCCCGAGTTGGAGGGGTTTGCAGGTGAGGAGCGGAAGAAGAGCGGGGATTGTGTCGAAGTGGTCTGGAATCTTGCATTGCGGGGAGTCGCTTGCGATCCACGTTGCGACGCCTGCGAAGCCTCGGACTGCAACTGCTCTTCTGGACCTACTGGCGCTGGGCTGCTATCGGATATCTGAGAATTCTGACCACGGGCGCTTCGCCGTGGAGTCGCCGACGCTGAAGTGCGCTGAGAGCGGCGCTTCTCGGGAGAAGACATGGTTGCGGTGCTCTGTGCGGCAGCAACGGTGAATGTGTTGATGTTGTAGAGGGGTTGCCAGGGAAGGTAGGCTTGTCGCGCCTACTCCTTTCCCAGCGACGCGTGGGACGCGTTTTAGGCTAGTCTGCAAATGGACGTAAGTGGTCTTGGCATGCCTGAGGCAAGTTCGATCACACGCCAAAAGACGACTACGATTGGAGACATCTTTCTATGAAAGACTCTGAAGGCATTCTACAAACATCAAGTGCGATTTGACAGCATCGTGTGTACACATGTAGACCAAGCTGTAGACTAATTCTACCTAGTGGGGCAGCTAGCCCCGCTGTGAACAAATGTTTACAAGCAGGCAACGACGAACAGCGACACTAACCAGCTGAAGTAAACCTCCAGCTCTCATCCTCTGCCTTCTTCAATCACAAATTACTCCGATCCATAACCACTATCAATCTCGATCATGGCGCCTCCCTCTAAACTCGCTATCGCAACTGGCGTCGTGAACCGCCTTGTCAAGGAAGAAGCAAGCTACCACAAGGAAATCGAGCAACAAGAGGCGCGCATCAAGAAGGCCGAGGCCAATGAGGGAGATGAGAACGGCGAATACACCCTGAAGCAAGAGGTATGGAGTCTCGGCAATCCTGATACTAAACATGATTACTAACTGCGGTGTAGCGTCAAGCACTCCAGGAGACCAAGAACGTTTTGCCTGGCATGAAGACCAAGATTGAGCAGGCAGTCGAGAGGCTAGAGGAGGAGCTTGTAAGTTCAGGATGATATAGGCTGAAGACCCTGTACTAACGATCTGTAGGAGAACAACAAGGAAGGCGGCGCTCAGGCATCACCGGAGGAAGTCACCAAGGCGAAAGAGGCTGTCGAAAAGGGCAAGGCGGCTATGCGTGAGGCTTCTTAGATTCGTAGCTACCGAAGAGAAAATCGGTACAGCCGCCGTATGATAGTGATACAAAGATGATGGAATGATACCCTGAACACCGCGCTATGCAATCAAATCATCAAAAGAACCATCATCTACATGTGATCACGGTTCCTCCATCTTGGTATCTGTCCGATCTTCACCATCATCCTCTCCTTCTTCGAGATCCTCTCCCTCTTCCAGTCCGGAAGAGTCACTATCATTGGCATCTCCTGAGTGTGCCCCAAGGTCTGCCATCTCCGTGTCATCGGCGGCACCAGATCTAGCAGGCGAGGGTGCGGCGCTAGCTTCCCGTGATAGTGGCTTCAGGCGATCTTGTGGCGGTACTCGCAGCGACGAAGAGCCGTCTCCGCTCTGGCTGGCATGCCCAGGCGTCATGCCACCATCTGGTCGCGGTGTACCGGCATGGCTAACGTCTCCCCTGGAGGTACTGCCCTCACCTTCGCCATCTTCGTCACCATCCTTCATCATGCCCTCCTTGCGCTCAGCTTCCTCCTTCTCGTCCTTGATCATGCGCAACATGCCGCGTGCCTCTTCCTCTATTCGTCCGAATTGCGTGCGTCGCTCCTTCCAGGTAGCCTTAGCTAACCGGACTTCTGAATTGAGCTCCTCTATTTCCTGGTCCAGCTTCTCGTGGGCATGTGCTTGCTCGTCCCGTGGCTTCAGCATCTTGCTGTTGGTGATCTTCTCCGTAAGCTCGTCGTACGTCTTGCGCACAGCCAGTGTCTCTTTCGCCTCGACCAGCCTGACGCGCAGGTTTTCTATGTTCTTGCGCACGTGCTCCTGCTTTGCCTCGATGGCCGTCTTCTCATCGGCGTAACGCGCGCGCTCGGTGTGATTGCTGTTCGTGGTGAATTCGGATCGAACAATCGCAAAGTCCAACAGTGACAGTTCGTTCATGATATCTTTCCGCCATATCTCGATCTTATGCGCTTGTTGCTCGCGCTCGACAGCGACTGCTGCAGCCTCCTCCTCTGCGCTTGAGGCATCCGGGGGCGGAGAGGGGAGTTGTCTGGGGCGCGCATCCTCAAAGAAGTCTGGCTTGAGTATGCGACCGGCTGTGTTTGTGTATGGGCGAGCTTCGACAGCTAGTAGGCGGGCTACATTGTGCAGCGCATCTGCTGGAATTAGTCAGAGCTCTGTGGTGAGTGGAAGACGCCTTACCCTCATCCGGTTGAGAAAGCAGGCCCCAGTCGTTGATCACCATCTTGGTCTGAGCGGAAGATTAAAGGTTGTAGTCGTTTGCGGTATTATACGTCGTCGTCGTCAAAGTCGTCGTCAAAGTCGCGATGCTGAGGTCCAAGAGTTGAATTGATCAACGCGTTTGGCAGGGGTCCGCTAGCGCCTGTGATCACCACCAGACGTCAGAGACCAGTCCACGACGCCTTCTTCACTTGCACTTTCCCTTCTCTCTCTTCACCTTCCCGTTCATCGCTTCGCATTGCTCTGGCAAGCGTCACTCTTACAAAAAGCATCTTCATCCGGACTAGCCTACCAACATGCTGCCGTGAGCCCCGTGGGGTCCTCAGCCCCATCTACGGTTCACGCCGCCCTCGTTCCGCCTGTCCAGGATTCACATTACATAGACGATACCCTATCAACGAACACCAACGAACCTGTCAGCAAACCACCTTTCCACGACCAAAACCCTTCACATCCCGTTTCGTTTGATCTTCGCATTCCGCCTCACAACACCATCTCACGCGACGCTTTTTGGACATCCTCCGCATAGACATTACCATCACCATGCCAGTCGCAAGCCTCTTCGAACTGGCTCGACAGCGCCTCATCAAGAACATCGATATGCTCCGCGATGTTGGCGATCTGCCCTACTCCTTCCTCCAGCCAGTCTTACGATTCGTACAAAGCCCCGATCAGCTGCTCGAACTCGAGACGAACTGCCCACAACTACTCGGCGAGACGGGCGAGATATGGCTTCGCTTCATCAAGCGGGACATTCCAAAATGGGAGGAGAAGCCACATGAGCCACGCGATCCTCGAAACTGGAGCAAGGTGTATCGAAAGTTGAAGAAAGATGCAGAGCTAGAGATAGAGGCGGACAAAGAGGCTCTCAAACAGCAGATGCAAGCGCTGCAGAAAGATCGCGGACAGAACAAGACCTTGATCGTCGAGACCAGATTCGGATACGGTGCCGGCGCAAGCAAGATGTTCACGGGACGCACTACCAGCAGTTGGGGCCAACCGTCGGGTGCACCTTCAAAGACGGGCAAAGCCGCCTTCGACAAGCTGAAGCGCGGCATGTTCGACCATGGGCGTGAACGCCCGAAAGCTAGCCAAATTCCAGCACATCTTCTAGCTCAGCGAAAGACCAACGTCAGGCAAGCACCAGCAAGGATGGTTCGAATGGCGGAGAACGAGGCTCCGAAAAGTATGGTAGTGTCCAGGCAAGCTTCGGCATCCGTTTCCAAGAAGCCTGACACTCAGCCTGCACCGTCGTTATCCGCAAATCGCCCAACCATTACACAGAGGCCTGCACCACAGCAGCGCAACGCACCACCACCACCTGCGCGAACCTCCTTACCACCTGGAATGCATTTCAGCGCACCCAAACCAAAGCCGACAAGTGCGCAGGCAGCGGCCGATCCGGCACCAAAGAGAAAGAGACCAGAATACAACATGTTTCATACGAAGAAGAGGAAGGTTTAGAACGTACTTGGGTTTGGTGTTGGCATGAATAACGCACAGGAGACATGGGCATAGTCAGGCTTATCCATACGAGTCTTATCGATGACCCGTTATTAGTATGAACACGTGTGGGTCTTTGTTGTGGTATTACCCAATGCTTTTGGAGTTTAGGAGGATGTGTCGGTTTGCGAAATCAGGAGCTGCATTTGTCGGCGTTGCACTTTGGGTAATTATGTCTCTTCTTGGTCTGGAGCCATAGACTTCTTCCATGTCTGTAATTTACTGTTACCTTTTATCGGTCACTTTTTCGTTTCTATGCTGTGTCGATACGTGAGGTGGTTGAGATATCGTTGAGGAAGACTTGAGATGGATTGATCACAAGCAAACGCGCTGTCTTGGCGCTAGCAGGTGAGCGCGCAAGGGTTCCAAGGTTGTAGATACAACAACCGCTCACCGCCAAGTCCATATACACACCTTCGATATCTGCGCTTCTTCCGTTCAATTGAGGTGCGCAAGCTGCGCAGTCAGCTGAAACGGCGACGCCATGGACGAGCTAAGTGTCACTTTCAGCGCTCTCAGTCTGTACGGCCCCAGCTTCTTCCAGATCCTTGAATTCCCTCTTGTAAGTAGTGCGCTCTGACGAATGGTACGATGGTCGTATGCTTGTGGCGTTCTCAATTATCAGGAGCTGTTCAGCAGCGTCTGCGACCACTTGGATGACGATTCATTGCGAAAGACTCGACTGGTCTGTCGCACTCTCAGCCATCGTTCGGCTTTCAATTTCGGATCGCGCTTCTTCACTCATCTTGTGGTTATACCCCAAATGGAAAGCTTAACCGTCTTGTTGCACTACGCTCACCACCAGAGGTCTTCGCGGTTCGTGAACACTCTATCGATCAGCGGCGAAACTGGTCCACATTCGACGACCTACGCTGGCATACCTGCGTCGACCGTGGAAGATATGCTTACAGAGGCGCTTCGTAGCTTCGAGAATCTGGAGACTATTCGGATAGATACCTGTTCGTACCTGCGCTTGGAACACCTTTCCTCAGAAGCGATCGGCCTCCGTTGCGGCCCAGAGAGACTCCGTATGGAACAACTTCAAGGCAGCTTAACCGCTCTCAATCACTTGTTCCATGTGATGATGAGATCTGTGGAGCGAGCTATGGTTCGCGATAAGATTTGCCTCGACTTGAGCTTACTTTTCAGAGCAACCGATCAGACACTTTACTCGTAACGGGAGCCTTGCTTCCAGTCGTCCACGCCTTCGAGTTCGGCAGCTTCCCTGACGGAAATAATTACTAGGTCGACTTCACATTGGCTAACGTTGCCCTGTCATCTGCTTGGTCTGCCTCTTTGTCCAATGCTTCATCAGCCACTTTATGGCAAAAGTTGAAGAAGAACCGAGCGAGAGTATTCCATCGGCATATAGATATCATTTGGTAACGACACCACCGAAAAGAAAAATGAGATAGACATGGTGATTGGACAGTGTGGGCATGCCGGGTATGTTTTCTTGAACAGTACAATATTCGTTTATGAAAGGCGTCAATGTTTAGGCTATTAGATTTGTAACTCGTCTATCTGTACCTAAAGAACGATCACAACACTACATGTAGCCTTTCCAGACACAGTTTACTGGAGCAGCTGGCCTAAACTTATGCAATGATTTCGGCTTTCCGATATCGACCTAAGTATACATTGCTGCAGAGGGTAGGGACTGGCTTGTGAAGACAATGTACACAGTGATACTTACATAGCCTACTTTATCTCGCAGGTGACTGAGTGACGTGTCCTCCATGATTTTCCTTAGGCACCAGGAGTACTCTCCGCTGCTAGCTTCCTCTGTCGTACCTTCTCTCACTTCAGGTTCAGGCCTAGCGTAAAAGCGCACGACCCAGGTGTTGACAAACGGGCAAGAGCGTCTCGCTCACACGAACTTTCACCTCACATCGACGCAGACGCTTCAACCTCATCTCCTCCATCGCTACACATCTGCGGGCATCGTATCATATACATGATCACTGCTCGCGAGAGGGCAAGGGCAGGTCTCGCTAAAGCGTCGCAGTCGCCCTTTCGACTACTTGACCTCCCAGCTGAGATCGTAGGCAGCGTCTCCGACCGCCTTGAGGATGCTGACCTTCTCAGTCTAAGTTGCGCATGTCGCGCACTCAACGCGCACTCGGCCAACGCGCTCGGAAAGCGGTTCTTCAATCACCTCATCGTCTTGCTACATCCTACCAGCCTCACGACGCTTCTCGAGATCTGCCATCATCCTGTACTATCCAAGCATGTCCGCAAGATTACTGTGAGCGGCGAACGCATCGGACAAAGCATACATGGAATCGAACAAGAGAAAATCCACAAGGATCTGCAAGTCAATGTCGAGCGCTCTGGCATGGATTCGTTGACTCTCAAAGAAGCCTTCCGGGAGCTGGACAATCTAGAGATGGTTCAAGTCGATGTCATCAGTTTCTATCATATCGAACAAGAGCCAGTCGACGCCGGCATCAGGTGTGGACGGGCCCATATCATCCCGGCAAAGCTTTTCAACTCACCTGGTTCACGTGAGAGGCACGGAGACAGCGGTAAGAACCGAGTGTACGATTTGATCCCGAAGACTCTCCTGGACGCCGGTGTACATGAGAAAGTCGGTCTGCAGTTTGAGTTCTGGAACACGGATTATTCCAACGAAGATGTGGTCACATTCTTTGGATCTCGATTGCGAAACTTGGAAGGGTCAGCTATCCAGACGAGTCCACTCGGTAAGTGTCTTGGGCCAGGTGGATAGTGGTTGGCTGTGCCGATTGCTCAGCACAACCTCAAGTCTGCGCAAATTCGAGTTCGGAGGTGACAATCATTTCATGGAACTGTCATACCAACCAGTTGGACCTTTCCATTGGCCTGGATTCTCGCATCTTCATCTAGAAGATGTGTTCTTTCCACACACTGAATGGACCAATTTCCTTCGCACGCACGCCGGTACACGGAGAAGCCTGTCATGCTCATCCATAGGCTTTCCGGAAGGGGAATGGACCGAGCCCTTACAAATCATCGAGACGATGCCTCGAATTGAATACCTGTGGCTAGTCAAGTTGCTCGAGAAAGCACCTTATCCGCATTCATCGATGACTGTGAGACGCTGGAGCCAAGAGGATGACGGGGTCTTGCGACTTTTCGACCCAGAAGAGGTCCAACTTGCTCTGAGTGCGATGCGCAGTCAACCGAGAACGGTGTTCATGGGCGCTGGCATCAGGAGCGAGGCAGGCGAGGTTTATTCCCATAGGGTTTCGTTCGATGTTGGTGAAGCAGCGCTGGCAAGAGACATCGTCTATCAACATGGTGAATGGACGTTCGCCGACACATTTCCAGAAATTTAAGAAGCTCTTCGGCGCCTTAGCGAACGCGGTGTTCGGGTATGTTCATGAGACTTGTGGCATCGGAACAGAGGTGTAGAGTAGAACCTTGATTCACTTCATGCTGACCATAAGACGGACATGCACATGTTAACTCAGATACATACCTAAGCTACACACTCCTAATGCAACCCTTTCCCTTCATGCCGCATCGTCTCTGTACCCGCAAGCTCAACGGGTGGTTGCGCAATTTCCACAGGTTCGTGTTTGTATGCCACCGCTCCTGGTCCCAACTCCTGAATGTGCTTCGCGTGTACCTCATACGGCGTCACGCTGGTAAGCTCCGTAGAGCCCGACATCTCTCGCGGGCGTGACGAGTGCCGTTTCCTCACGATGTAGAACACAGCTAATCCGATTATTATGCCCAGCCCTATGCCTCCTCCAACTGCTGCCCCTGCTATCGCGCCCGTCGATAAGCCCGACGAGGCCTTGGGAGGTGGTGTGGATGACGGAGTCGATGTAGGCGTAGGCGTTGATGTGGCAGATGGTGATTCACCAATGGCGCCTGCGTCGCAGAAGTCGATACTGTAGTATACGAAGGTCGAGTTGTAGCAGTCGATCGATTGGATCTCTTCTTGGAAGCCGGAGCATATGTCGACGGTCGTGTCGTTCATGTAAATGGTGACTGCGCGCGTTATCAGCATGGCCACCCGGGGCACCACGTTATTGTCTCGCGAAGCAACATACCTGTGCATCCTGGGTCCAGGCCAACAACCTGGAAGCTGCCGTAAGGCCCATTGCGCCTGAGATCTGTACAGGTACCATTAGGATAGCCGTTTGGACCCTCTAAACCTCTCAATGACTCTTGGCAATTGTCATCCTCGAAGAGCGCTATCTGACTCGTCGCAAAAACGCGCGCTGCGAGTGCGGTCAGGAGGAGGAAGAGAAGGTTATGCATCTTCGCGTCGGTGCGCGGTACGTTAGCCGCGTATTGCCTTTGACGAGGCGGCTAAACAGCAGGCAACCAGAATACGAGGGCGCCGGATCATCTCATAGCTGTTATAACTACAGCTGGTGTACGGAGCTGATGACCACTAAACATGTAAGGCAACCTGGAGTTAGCTGCCCAGGTCTTGGGAGACGTATCGATCATAGCTTCACAGGCCTGACCACTCCTTTCCTCACCTGGCATGCAGGATGCGGCATGGGTAACGTAGGCAGCGAATCGAGGCGAGGCTCCAGATTGCATGAAAAGCCACGCTGTTTTGTTTTCCTGTGGGCCCACAGTGCGGCTGGAGGCACTGATATTCTTTTCGGTGCTATTGGCTGCTATATGACAAAGGATGCTACCTAGATATCCGGTTGTGGGGGTACCGTTCTCTGGAATGATGCTGTTGTTGCGACAGCATACGCACTGGCAATGAGCCCACAAGTAAGACGGCCCCTGCCATTGTGGACTGATAACTGCTTCAAGTATACAGCGAAGGATTGACTGTTCCCGCAGATGGCTTACTGATGGTCTGTAAAGGAGCGCCAAGTTGGCTTGGCTAGAATGCGGGTACCTGTTCCGCGGCGAAAATTTGGGGGCCACGGAAAGAGCCGTGGGGCCAAGACTGCCACATGCATCGAATCCTCCATGTCGCACTGCAGGAGAGGTACGTACACCACCACCTTCGATACTGAGATTTCACTATGGCTTCGGAGAAGCAGCCAAGAATTCTTCTTTTTGGGGCCGGCAGCGTCGGAACAGTATATCTGTACCTGCTCAGCAAGGTAGCCACGACCACCGCCGTTTGCCGCTCAAATTATGAGGTCGTAAAGAAAGATGGCTTCACCATCAATTCATCAATATTTGGTGAAAACCTCCATTTCAGACCCAATGTAGTCCGAGACTGTGTAGAAGCAGCGTCTCAATCACCAGATCCATTTGAATACATCATCGTCTGCAGCAAGGCTATCCCGGATACGGTACCGAAGCTCATCGCTCCGGTTGTCACACCCGGACATACGGCTATCGTACTTATCCAAAATGGCGTCGGTATCGAGGAAGAATACCTGAAGGCATACCCAAATAATCCGATCATCAGCGCTGTCGTCTATATGCCCGCCACTCAACGGCCAGCCGGCGTCATCAAACACGGTGAAGTCGAGAAACTTCAAGTCGGAGCCTATCCCTCTTCTGCAACACCTGATTATGCCAAGGCTTTCACGGAATTTGTCACAGCGGCCGGCGCTACAGCGGAATTCTATGAGGACGTTCAGCACAAGCGATGGATGAAATTGCTCGTCAACGCATCCTGGAACCCGATGTGTGCCCTCGCCCTGAGCAAAGACACCGATATTTTGAATGCTTCAGAAGAGGCCAATGGTGTTGTACTAGCTGTGATGCTTGAAATTCGCGATATCGCAGCTGCCCATGGCTACGAAATCACGCGCGAACAGGTGGACAATCAGCTCAGCCGGGCGCAAGCCAGGATTCCGACGAACGCTGGTATCGAACCTAGTATGCTCCAGGATGTTCAGTCGGACCGGAGAATAGAAGTAGAGGCTATTGTGGGCAACCCCGTCCGCATGGGAAAAGAGAAGGGCGTGGCATGCGTGCGATTGGAGATGCTTTATATCCTCGCAAAAGCTCTAGATCTCCAGATTGGACGAAGAACTTGAAATCGGGACTTGCATTGTGGTTTGGATCTGTAGGTAAAGTCTCATTCGTTATTTACCTTCTGGCCTTAACCGGACATTATTCGTCTTGTCCTTTTTACCGACTTCAGCGAACGCCATCTTTAACAAACGCCTTGATCCGGGGGTTCTCTCCTTCCACAGGCACAACATCCTATCTAAACACATTGTTTGTACCTGATGGTAGTGCTCTGGCGAATAGCGCGTCTTGTCCCTTTCACTCCTCATCTACCGCTGGTATCGCGCCAAGCCTTCCGTTTGTCCACCGCTCTGCATCACAATTCGCGACTCACCTCCGCCTTTTCAGGAAAAGGTGTCGTCATTACCATGGTGACTGACAATAGGCATAGACCCAGCCACAATAGCAGTCTAAATATCTTTTGCCTACACACAAAGCAATACAACCCCGCATCACATCGTCTTGCTCTACTGCTCAGATACCAATCCCAACACCCCGATCCTCTACCATTACGGCTGCCAACACTAGCTCTTCCATTTGACGACACCCGGTACCTCATCATATCCTCCTTTGCCAGCTCGTCCGTCGCACGCTTTACTGACAAGATGCGCCCTGTCACCATTGCTATTCTTTGCTGCCTCTTGCTAGTAGCGCTCGACATCAGCCGCATCGTCGCATCATCTGGATTCTTTCCGCTGATTGTTCGATGCGTCCACATCGTCGTCTCGTACCTATACTGGTAAGTCTGCTGGGAAGTCTATTATCAGTTCATCCACCACTTCGAAGGAGTCCCGGGCTACCTCCGCTTCTTCGCACTCCACATCTGCATCTACATCGCATTCTATATATATGTGTATCTCAAGTATACCTATTGGGTAGGCCCTCATCCTGGAGTCGACCAAGTCGGCCTCTATGAATCTACCGAAAAGGGACCGTCACAAGCGACGAAGAACCCTGCCACTCCCACTGTCGCTCATATCACACCGCCACCTGTCGCACTACCACCTGCAAAGCTAGCGCCTCGCTCATACCCTCCGCCGTTCGAGTTCCCCTTCACCAACTTCCTTGGCACCGGTGAGTCGTTCGCACACTCCGATCGACGCGACCCGACACAGTATCCCGTGTCCCAACTCTCGACTTCTTGGGGCAATACCCGTCGCAAAGAACGTGATGTCTGGGGGTCTGCACCTAGGCAATCATCACCAGCCTATAGGTCTGCCGAGGATGGAAAGGTAACCGCAGCACCTGCCATACCCAAGCCAGAAGTTGCTCAGTCCACTATGAAGTCGACAACAACTACCAATAAAAACCACGTAGTCATCGCAAGTGCCCATGAAGGTTGTCGAGCTACCTATCATATACCTCCCGACCCCGCCACAGCCATCTTTCGAAAACCTTGCTAGGTCGACCATGAGCAACCTCGCTAACCAAGCATCTACCCTCGAGACTGCGATGAGGGGGTTTCTGGTTGCTGCCAGTACCGGTGCTGAGTACACGTCGTCGGCAAATGCGATTTGGACCCTGATGGCGAGTGCTGAGAGTGACCTGAAGCCATACTTCAGGGGCGGTATGACTGTAGATCAGTCCTCCTGTATTGGCTGGAATGCCTCTATTGTGGAGTTCTGGAACTACTTGGTGCCTGAAGGTGCTTCCATCCAAAAGAGCCAGGAACTGATGGTTTTCCTTGCGCTCTATCGTCAATTCGCAAGCTACCTTGGGTTGAAGGATTGTCTCCAAGACCTCATCGTCATGAGGCCCGATCCGCCGTCGTATCAGCCAGCTGTTCAACAATCTCTTTCCCAACCTCTCGCGTCAGAAACGCAACAGCCTCCAGCACCCAAGATAGAGACGCTATCCGCCATCTCCACCACCACTGAGTACCTTCCCGCCCCCGCCGTCCTGATCGCTCCGCAGCCGCAAAAGGCACCGAGTGCCTCCGCGCCTATCCAAAAGGCACCTCCCCAGCAGGCGATAGTCACCCAAGGTACACCAGGCCTCATTGACTTCAGCAATGATGATTGGTTTGGTCTGCCGGATGATCAGCTCAGAGCACTTTCCTGGAGGTCGTTCAGCTGGCCTGACGACGCAGCCGCTAGCTTCAAGATATGGTCTCACGATGTACCGGAGCTTGCCAATCTATCTGGCAGCTGTCCAGAGTTCCTCATGGCCTCCTATGTGAAAGCTGGACTCGAGAAAATGGCGCCGATTTTCAAGCGTGCTGCAATTGTCCTTCGACTCCAGGGTCGTGGATGCACATGGCCTGATGAATACGACCTCATGACGGTACCGTTGTTGGGGCACATTTTTGATTTCCTGTCCAAAGCTGCAGGTATGACCAACAAGTGCCAAGAAGTTGTATACTGGGATCTTCGGAACGAGTGGTGCAAAGCCTGCTTCTACTTTCACAAGCGTGTTTTGCAGGAGAACATCTGGACATTCCTGGGACACCGTTACGACGCCAACGATGCCAACAAGACTCCTCCTCTCAAGAAACTGTGGGGGGAGCTGGCGCCGACATGTCTTCCTGATGTCGCAAAGCGTTGAGCTGAACGTCTTCGCATACATCCCGTACCATTATACTCTGTCACACCGACAGTCGTACAGCCTTGGAATACCTCCTCAGTACCTCATACCGTTTCATCCTCCGACGACAACAAGGGATGTATTCCTCAACCCCTCTCTTGACTTTTCAGTTATATGTAGAAAGCATCGATGTCACCATATCAAGACGAGTTATTCCAAGTGAAATGTGTATTAATGTTCACTCCCTATCTAAAACAATCGAAAAATAGATATTGTACATGTGTCTAAGAAACCAAGGCACGCTCATCTGATGGTATACATTATTCGCGCCATGCCAAATGAGAAGCGACGAAAGGTGCTTATGCGGAGGCAGCGGGGGCCTCAGCAGTCGGGTTGACGTCGGAGCAGAGGAGAGCCTGGCCGAGGATAGGGACAAGGCAGCACTTGGCCTGCTGGCCAGCCGCAGCGCATCCGTCAATGAACTGGTTGATGCTGGTGGGGGAGGTGGTAGCTGGCAACGTGTTAGTGATCATGTGCTTTGAGAGTAGAAGATGAGAGGAACGTACGAGGAGCGCAGTCCAAGTTGGCGAGGTTTAGGACATCGGTAGCGCAGCAGACGGGGTTGCCGGAAGAGCAGAGGCCAACCTGGCGCTCCTCAAGGGGAGCAGCGAAGGCAGCGGTAGCGGCGAAAGCGAGAACGGCGGTGATGGTGAACTGCATTTTGAAGGTTGGTTGGATTGGTTGGTTCTTGTGGAAGAAAGAAGTGTTGTTTGGAAGTGGTGTTGTAGAGTTGTTGATGTGAGTTGAATGTGTTGGATGATGTTCAATTGTTGAGGCATCGTCGCCCTTCTTATACCTTCTCAACCCTCATCTTGTTCAAGGTTCATTCCAAGTACACGCTTCATTACATTGCCATCGTCATCAAACACCAGCATACCCAGGGCACGATCGTCATCGACGCCAGGGGAATTAGTTGACAGCCGGGAGCGCACGTCCATAACGGTCAAAATAACGGTGACGGGTCCACCTGGCGTCCCCAACTTCTTCATGGCGAGTCTGTACGCGGCAGAAATGACGTCGATCTCAGGTGGTTCAGCTCTATTGTTCCTGGCTGATCATGCTGACTGGCTGGTACCGAGGGTGGAGTATCCGTTAGGGCTGTTGATCTCGAAACCTGGACGGCTGGAGTTGCTGTCGCATGAAGAATGGATACTGTGGAACGTAGATCGATATCGGAGGTTTACCTATTCAGGGTAGGGATCAGATATCAAACGCCAGCATTCTTACGAATTGGGCATCTTTTCGCTGCCCCTGGCGCGTACATTTGCTGCAGGGTGTCCTGGTTGTATGCACGTTATTCGCGTTAAGCCTCTCATAGGGTTTTGTGGCTGCCCCAGACTATGCCATAGGGTGGTCGGACACCCTCTACGAGTTGAGGCTTCAGCGCCAGTGACGTATCCTAAGCTGGGGTACCGGCTACCGGAGCGCTCGTTCACAGGCGTTGCATAATGCTCATCTCCGAGCCTCAAGTTCACCAAGTCAAACGCTTGTGAGAGTTGCCTAAGAGCGCGTGGACCACCTGCACGGCAGATAGCATGAAAGTGTATCAATGCAGAGATGAGAATGTGTACACAATTGTCGCCTTGCTTTGACGGATCGACTTGGTGGAGGCGAAGCTCCATCGTCACCCACACCACGCGTTCATCTCAACCTTGAAAATCTTTCTTTAGCAACCGGTAGATTTACCAGAGCTAACCCATAACAAGGTGTGGCAAACAGCTGTCAAAGAATTCAAGCGCCTCAATACGCCATCCTATGATGCTAGAGGTAGGTGTGACGAAGTCCAGAAAAACGATCGAAACGTGGGGCTAAGGGGTTTAGCAAGGGTTATGGCGAATGAGAATCTAGAACCAGCTTCCAAGGAAGCCCTGTAACACGGTGGAAAACCTGGCGATGGTTCGGCTAGCGTTTGATATAGCACAAGGATGGGGATCTATAGGTACTCAGAAAGTTCAAACCACAAAGGATGTCAAATTGTGCGAATTCTTGTAAGGCTGACATTTACATCCGTAATATCCGTTAAAGTTTGGATGAGGCGATTCGCAATTATCTGGTCAGCACAACGGTACCTGCAATCGGACCTAAATGACGAAAGAAGGTCCCCATCTCAGGAGACGTTGTGAAAATGTATGGAACGGAACGTTGCATGCCCAGGCGGCCGTTAAGCCCCACTTGACCGCGCCTTGCCTGATCCTGGCGTGACAGCCCGAGCAGCCGACCTCGCTTGCATCGATCTACGTCACAACAAAGACCCGGTTCCTGACAACGCAGCAAGATCTGAACAAGTCGTGCAGGACGATTTACATCATTTTGCTACGAGCAGCCAATCGCGACAAACACTTCATTTAACTGAAGTGCATTCTTCGAGGCGAAACGCATTCTTCCACGCGATCCTGCCATGCTATTTACGCGAGGGCGGCAAGGCTGATGGCCTAGTGTGTGGTGGCGCAGGGTCGACGAAACTCAGGAGCGGACGTGACGGCTGAAGGCGGTAAGTACAGCACATGCAGCGCGCAGTGGAAGAGCCAGAAGCAATGCGATGTCAAGGTACTGATGAGATGCTTGCGCATTGCGATGGATTGTTGCCATGCGCCAGATGTGCCAGGGACATTTGCGACACACAAGGGCGCGGCCATGCTCCGAAGCTCTTCGGCATCAGCCAACGGTCACTGCCCTCCTCACATTGTTCTAGAATGACCCAAGGTCAGATTCTAATCGACCTCTGCAGTCAGACTGCTACTTGAGATAAGGCTACCTTCAACGGCGTGAATCTCAACTTTGAGTTTGATTGATCTGGCGCTTGGCCGTGTCTACAAACGCCACGATGCTACTACGGCGGGACTAAGATCTCGAACCAACACACCATAGCAAGGCGGACGACGACAGCCGATTACAGACTACAGTAGCAGCAACTGACCGCTGATTTGACAATTCGAACAACCTTTTTGGCGACTACCAAAGTCAATGTAGAGATTCGTGAATGGCGTCCTTCACCGCCCCTTAGTGTAGGCCTCTAGATGCTGCTTCCCTTCATATCTACTGCACTTCTTGCCCTACATACAGCTATGCTCTCCTTCTCTTTGTCATGATTGCTTGCCAAGAGTTGAAGTGAAATTGTAGTCAGCCTTACATTCCACTATCAACCATGTACGCCTCTCCAAATTCCGAATCGCCACCAATGGTTTGAACGACTACAAGATTTGGATAAAGAGAAGACCAAAGTACATTTCGTCAATAACACAGCCAATGCATTCGACAATGAAGGCGCCGCGCAGCCCACCGCTAAGAGTTTCGCATCTGGTCGTGATTATACACCTCACCTTCAAGCCTACAATAGTCCAATAAGCAGATGATCCAATGGACCTACCCTTCCAAGGTTATTCGTCGCTATGTCACAACGAAGAATAAACATGGTTGAGCTTGACGACTGAACATAGCAGCTACCTAGGTAGTTTTGAGATCCTGTAATTTCTCTACATGGGCAGCTTCTGATTAAGATGCCGATCAAGAGCCCCAGAATAGTCCAGCATACTCAAAAATACAACAAGTTTTATGCACGTTTCAGCAATTTCATCATGGTGATGCTCTGTTCTGCGCCGATATCACCACTGTGTTGACACTACTGCGTACTTTACCAATGGATCTGAGGCGTGGTTATGTGTTTGAATTGATTCGGGCCGTTACGAGTCGTGCCCGCTGATAGTTCTGTGCTCCACAATCTCACGGTCACGTGCAGTCAGGAATAGATTCAGCGAGGCTCGACAGGGTTTGCCCGCCGGCACTTTCTCGGCCAGAGCTATACGAGCTACGGGAGCAACACACTAGGAACCGCCATCTTCGCGCCCACGCACCCCACCCATCACAGAACGAGAAAATCGAGGGCTTCTCTGCCTCGAATCGGGTCTCAACGAGCCACAGACCTTTCTCGCCAAGTACACCTTGTACAAGAGAGCCACCGAATACATTGCAGGATGGATTGCCAAGACCGCCGCATCCATCGGCTTCAAAGTCAAAACGAAGGAACAAAAACAGAAAACATCGAAATCTAGGTCGAAGAAAGGGTGCTGGCAGGAGAGGCAACCAGAATGCGAAAGGTGGAGGCGGTGGCACAGTATATCAACTCGGAGTATCAGACTTTGTACCGATGGCAGAAGCGATAGCAAAAACTGGAGAAGAAGCAGAGTCTTAGATCATGGTCCCTGTTGCTTTATGCAGGCACTTCAGTCGCGCCATTCAGACACATCGGAAGGTCTCGCAGTGGTACAAGGCCAAAGTCAACCCTGATACGAACAGTGACCTGCGGCACGAATACTTCATCAAGGTTCTCGAGGACGCCTTCGCATCCCTTGAGTCATTCCTCGGGTTGGGCGGGCCAAAGGTCGCACGCAACAATGGTTCCACTACTACTGTGTCTGACTTATCGTCACGCAATCGCTTTGCGGGGCTGACTGTCGATAAGCTTGTAGCACTAGCTAACGAGGAAAACGTTACTGAAGATACATTTCCTGAAGTCTCTAATGTTACGTTTAAAGGATTTGAGGAAGACAACGAGGACGACTTCTAGATTGCTGTTACGCTTATGCTATAGGAGCAACAGGACATGAGGGAGGTGGTACGTGACAACTGGCAGAAATGCAAGAGCGGTAAAGTCGACTTGATTGTGGCAGCCATGACTACGAATACGGCTATCAAACTTGCTCAAAATGCGGAGGCTCAGTTCGATTTGCTAGTAACACGACCGAAGAAATGTCCAGTGACGGAGTATTCGGTCTGGACGCTCCCCGCCGTTTTTTTCTACAACAACCAGGAAGATATGCACAAGTGGTCTCTCGCAGAGATCGCGAAGCCTTCCACCAGGCTTGGGGTTACAGCCGATGCCCAGAGTGAAGCGCATTTTGGCTTCTGGCCGGTCTTCGCTGGCTTGAAGTTCTACCTCCACAAGCACATGACAAAAAAAAACTCGATTCCGCAAGTGATGCCGAAGCACTTCGGCGATGCTAACATCCAATCGAACATTCAGAGCAATCGAATATGCCCAAATTATGCGGATCGTCGCAAAAGCAGCCAAACGCCCACCACTCCTGGACATGGTGCCCAAAGGTCTATTGGACATGTTCACCGAGCACACGATCCCAATATGGCTTACACATGGCGTCCAGCTTCATTTCGATTCGCAAGACATCATGAGCGAGATGACCAACCGACCGCATTTTGAACTCCAAATCTACCTAAACCACCTGCTAGTGGCTGTTGGATCAAGAAGCTACCCGGCGGCGCTTTTAACGTGAGAATCGACACCATTACTAAGGCACTTCTCGAAGCCTCTTCTCCTGATGCGACCCGTGGCCGTCTCGCGCGCGCTATGCAAGCCTCTCAGGAGCAGCAGGGACTGGAACTGGGGCCTCTCAACGGCAGAGAAGGACTCACATTTGTTGCCATTCTGCAACATTTTGCTTTCTGGCTGCAGGCTGACTTGCCAGATCTTTATCTCAACAGAACGTTGATCCAGCGGCAACACTCGGATACGTGGAAAGCCATCTACTCAGTACTCGAGGACGACCCAGTTTGGGATCCGTCTTTCTCAGAACTCGGACGGTCGCCGCAACATGCAGAGAATGCCATAATTACTACGTCCATAATCGAGGGAAAATATCCTCGCTTCATGGACATCGCGCGCAAAGCGATGCGCGGTCATCTACGGCAACGGGACGACAACTATGAGTGCGCGCAAAGCGAGGTATGCTTGAGGGACTTGACTAAGTACCACAAAGCAGCCGCCAGGCTCTTTACGGATGATGGACCTCTAAATATGGAGCACTTGTACAAAGGTTGGCCGTCGAAGCGCGGGAAACAGAGGAAGGAAAGCTTTGCGGCCGCTGCTGCACAAGCCGAGGTCACAGCCGGAAATGCCGATTCGCAAGAGATGTTCCAAGCTCAAGCAATGCAAGCCATGAGTTCGATGATTTTGGGCGGCACAGCCAACCAGTGCATGGTAATGCAATGGGTGTTGATACGCATGCTCGAATTCTCAGCGCGTTTCTCTTCGCGCATAATCCTACGACGATTCAAACGCTTGGAAGTGTCACGCTTTCCAGCATGCCAGTTGTGGTTGTGGCGTTACATTGAGGGTATTACCCGGCATCCTCGACGAGGCAGCACCCTGAGACTAGCCATTTCGGGACGGCTGCCTGAAAGCCACAACATAGTAAGGAGTTGCAGCCTTGCTCACGGGCCTTTGGAATGGAACATAAGACTCGCAGTAAGACGACATGAAAACGTTATTCCAGATACATCGCGACTTCTCTTGACAAAATTTGACATTATTTTCTCGTTCCTAAATAACATTAACGAGACACACTACCCATAGTCCTTCACCAGATCGCGTCAAGATGGCACCGATTTCAAGCCCTCTCAATCTCACCAATGTTACAGGTGGTGAAACAATCCATCAGGTACGTCATAGTCCTTATTTGGATCGACTCTAGCTAAGACACATTACAGCGCTGCCTCCTAGTCACGGGTACCTATGCGCTTACCGCTGCTGAAGGGAGTTACATCCATGTCGCTACCAAAGGTGCCAACATGGCCGAATCCTTTCCCGAGCAGACGTGGCCGATAGCAGGAGGTAATTTCAAGGCTCTCGTTATGCTCTCGCCAGGGCATAATGTCCTGGAATTTGCCTACGTCTGCAATGACTGTCTTGAACACACCGTCGAGGTGGATGTCAACTACATCCCGCCCTTGCAGTACCCGCCTCTTCATCTCGCTATCATGGTCGCCGCAGATTCACCATGCCTCATCGATTGTCCACCCTCAAAGGCCGCCGGAATTTCTTCGGCGCACTCAGACCTTGACGCAGCCATCGCCAAGCTCCGCATGACGGCTTACATGTGGCAAGCTATGACCGCAGAAGACTTGAGGCTGCAAGGTGCTGAGCGTCGATCATTCAGGTTGGATGAGGAGTGGACAGCGGACACGATCAGTCGTGACTTCCTCCATGCGCGAGTTGAAGAGGCTCTCGATAGCGAAGGTGCCATGCGATCGACTGCCAAGGTCAACATTATTCGTTCTACCAGGACCGTTAAGGAAATCCGCAATAAAGAGGTCGCACAACAAAACCCTACCGCACGTCGTGACAACGACTTGTTCGACTGGTTTCTGGATGCGCTCAAGGAGCAAGGAGGCCCCTTCGCCTCCGATGCCCGACCCATCGTTGCTGGATTGATCTTGGACTCTCACTACAGCGTCTCGCAGAAGCTGATCCTCGGACACGCAGCTCTGGGTTGCCACAACCCCGACGGAGTCTCACTGGGTATGTTTGGTAGCCATCTGACCTACTCCTGGCCGCGCTTCTTGGAAGAAGTCACAGGCTGTCTCACAGACGTCCGTGCACCTGGAGACAAAGTAGGCAATGACAACGGCCAGTGCAACACCATGTGGGAAGCATGCGCCATCGGCCAAGGCGCTTTCCTCCATGAAATCGGTCACGCATTCGGATCGCCTCATCGCTCTGGAATCATGGAGCGTGGATATGCCCAAGACTGGCCCAAGAACTTCCTCCCCAAGACCGCGTACTCTGGCCACCTCAAAACAGAAGGCATGCTCGTGGATTCTCATAACACACCTAACAAGGCTTGTTGGAATCTAGCTGATGCGCTCTCGTTCCGCATGCTGCCTCACTTCCGCCTGCCCTTCGACCCCATAATCAGCGTCGAAGAGCGACATGCTTCGCCCGAGGCCTACGCTGAGCACACAGATGATGAAGGCCCGAAAAAACTCGTCATCAGCTCAAGCAGCGGCATCGCACGCTTCACCTTCGACCACACGGAGACATCCCATCCCCCCGGCTGGACCCACAACGCACCGAAGCGCATCGAGTACACAGAATCCTTTCTTGAAGAGCGCTTCGACCGATCCCAATCCCTACATCTCAACATCCTCGCCTACAATGGTAAGGAAACCAACATCGGTAATGTGTGGAAACTCCTCGCAAGCAGAACCTTCATCCGCATCCCAGGCTCCGATATCCGACTGGCGAAGCGCCTAGTCTTCCCCGATGAGTCCGATACTCGTAGATACGAATGGGCGCAGCTCCTCCATGAGAAGGGCAAGGATGGAAACCTGCACCGTGCCGTTTCTATCGATCTAAGGGTCGGATGTTTATGGGATGGCGGCGTGGTGAAGTATGCAGATGGTCACACGAGTCACTGGGGACCTATGCGTACATACGGCCGCAAACACCAGTTCGGCGGCCATGCTTCCCAGAAGTTACGCCTTCCCAAGGGGGTGGAAATCAGTTCCGTCGAAGTCGTTCCTAGGGATGGTGTTAGGGTTCATCTCAGCGATGGCACGAGCGCGGGCGAGCTCAACGCGAGACATAACTCGGATATTGTGAGGCTGACGCCCAGCCCCGATGAGATTGTCGTGGGATTCTATGGTAAGAGTGAGAGGGGAGGAGGCTTTTGCGGCGTTGAAGAGTTTGGAATCATCACTGTAAAGAGGGATGTGGGGATTGCGGGGTTGCCGGATAGTGTGTGGGATATGGATGAGTTGAAGAATACGAGTGGTATGGAGGGGGATGACGATGATGAGGTATGTGAGCATTGCCGTTCTGCTTCTCCTTTGATCGTGGTTTGAATGAGGCTAACACAACATAGCAGGAAGAAGACCGGGATGACGATGACGACGATGAAGACGAAGAGATGGACTACGACGATGACGAGTGAGCGCGTCAATTCGGATAGTCTTGAAGGGACCACAGTGCTTCATTATCCAGGCAAAGTGAGCATCATGCTTGATCGCCGCAGTGCTGTGCTATTAGTGTAGCTGTCCCAGATTTTCCACATCTATACATGTAAGCGAATCGGTCCACAAATCAGGCTGCCCCATCAGGACTAAGATTAGACAATATGTACCGAGAAATCTATGCAATTTACGCTTAGTGTATGTCCAATCATGTACAATGATGCCGTGGTAAAAAGACACAGTGGCAACGAGACGAGGTTCTCGGCTCAAGACCAAGTGGTCTAGTTTAGCAACGAGGCGAATCTTCCCCAGATCACATGAAAAGTCAGACACATCCCCGGATTCTGCAAGGACAGTCCGGCAAGCTTTCGGCTGGGTCCCGGCTCCCATGTCTCAGCGCAATGGTGGCACCACACCTGGGCACGTCCTGGAGTGCATAAGAATCCGGGGTCTAGTCTCTGTGCTACCTTTGGTGTGTGACTAATAGTGTGTTCAGCTTTCGACGTCGAATATTAGGCCGTTGTGTGAAAGCTACGCGTGGATGCGCCTGATATTGAGACCTCTTGATCGCGTGAGATGCCAGGCTTCATCGGATCGTTGTATATGCTTTAAACGTATAATCGATATTGACAGCTAGCTATGCTGGCTGCTCTCTTCCGCTGGTGACACGCTTAATGTACTGGAAGCGTGCTTTCACGGTGCGATAAGTCGCGCGGACTTTGCAACAAAACTACCTAAGTAGAGCGTGATGTGCTTTCGACTATGCAAATAAATCTCAACGCCGCTTGAGTAAGCATGACCAAAGCACATCTCTACAACCACCGGCTGGGGAAAGGGGTGAGGTGAATGCGGTGACATGCGACGGAGTCATGATAGGCCTGATGAGGTTTCCCGATGGATGAAGTCTGACACGCTCGCTGCCAAGGCCGCGACCCGATGAAGGGCCGGCCCTCTCGCTATTCCCGAAACGTGTCCGCCGCCACAAAGTTCCCCAAAAAAGATACTGCTAAGCTGCAGAATTTTTCTGCTGGGAACGTACGGAACGGCAAAGCTACACATTCCACACGGTAATCCCGCGATAAGCATTGCCGCTTGGCCTGTCGCGCTCAAGGCGACGCGAACTGGCGGCGCCGACCCGCTCGTAGCCGACGTGATCCTGGCTCGAAAATTTCGATCATGCTACTGTCACGGTTCAACTTCTGCATCTTGCGCGGCAAAACGACTCTGTTGCCCGCCAAGTGGACCGACGATGAAAATTTGGACGGTCGACTGGCTTTCCAGAGCGTGGAGTACGCCGACGGCTAACATGATGGCTCATGGAGTATTGCGCGATGACTCCACTTTCTCTGGTGGTGGGTAACCGTGGTTTTGATTGAAATATCGTTTTCGTCCCTGGTTCTTGCGCACTCGATATCTATACATCACAGCTTCGTCGTTGTTGTTCTTACTTTGAACTCCAAGCCCCACCCCAGGGTCCCTCGCCAATACCACCACCAATATGGCATCCGCCTCTGAGGAGATCACGCCCAAGATGGACCAGCGGTCGGACAAGTCGGTCCCGCACTCTTCGAGCGACGTCGAGAAGCAGGCCGCACCCCCCAAGGATGAGCTCCAGCGCAAGCTTTCATCCCGACACTTGCAGTTCGTCGCCATCGGTGGTACTGTAGGAACTGGAGTTTTCATTGCTAGCGGAGGTTCCATCGCTACTGCTGGTCCCGCTGGTGCGCTCCTGGCTTACGTTTTCGTCGGTACTCTGGTCTACTCTGTCATGCTCAGTTTGGCTGAGATGGCTACCTATTTACCCATTTCTGGTGCCTTCACACAATACGCTGCCCGCTTCGTCGACCCCTCGCTAGGTTTCTCCATGGGCTGGATCTACTGGTTTTCGTGGTCAATCACCTACGCACTCGAACTTACGGCCGCTGGACTTATTATCCAATGGTGGGACTCAGATCTCAGCATCGGTATCTTCATCACCATTTTCTGGGTACCGATCACCGCCGTCAACTTCTTGCCCGTTGATATTTTCGGTGAATTCGAATTCTGGTTTGCTCTCATCAAGGTCGTCGCCCTTGTCGGTTTCTGGATCTACGCCATCTGCATGAACGCTGGTGTCGGCGCACAAGGCTACATTGGCTTCCAGTACTGGAACTCTCCCGGTGCTTTCGCTCCATACCTTGCCGAGGGCCCTGTTGCCAAGTTCGTCGGTTTCTGGGCTGTTCTCATCCAGGCTGGTTTCGCATACCAGGGTACTGAGCTCTGCGCTATTGGTGCCGGAGAATCCGCCAACCCCCGTGTTACCATGCCTTCGGCTATTCGCAAGACCTTCTGGAGCATTTTCACACTTTTCGTCTTCACCATCTTCTTCGTCGGCATTCTGGTGCCATACGACAACGAGGCTCTTCAGATTGGTGACACAAACGCTGGCTCATCGCCCATGGTTATCGCTTTCCAACTCGCTGGAGTCTCCGCTCTTCCTGATATCTTCAACGCCGTCTTGCTTACCGTCGTTCTCTCAGCCGCCAGCTCCAACGTCTACTCAGGCAGCCGTATCCTTGTCGGTCTTGCTGAGGAGAAGTGTGCCCCTGCGTTCCTCAAGGCTACCAGCAAGCGAGGTGTTCCATACTGGGCCACCGCAGTCACCGCCGCCATGGGTCTGCTTGCCTACATGAACCTTAGCGCCAACGGAGGAGAAGCTTTCAACTGGCTCCTCAACATCGTTTCAGTCGCAGGATTCATCGCCTGGACCTGTGTACTGATCTGCCACATCAGCTTCATGCGCGCGCTCAAGGCTCAGAACATCGACCGTGACACCCTCCCATTCAAGTCATGGGGTGGCCGCCCGCTCGCCATCTACGGTGTCACTTTCTGCGCCATCATCACCATCACCCAAGGTTTTACCGCATTCGTCCCATGGAGCGTCGAAGACTTCTTCATCGCATACATCAGTCTGATCCTCTTCGCCGTACTTTACATTGGACACAAGCTCATCACCAGGAGCAAGTTCATCAACCCCGCGGAAGCCGATCTCCTGACTGGAAAGTTCGAGGATGAAGTCAGCGAGACCTGGGAAGAATCTTCCGCGAGCGGATGGAAGAAGATGATCAACAAGTTCTTGTAAATGTTGCTTAATGGCAACAAAAAGTGTTTTGGATTCGATCCGATGGCATAGCGTAGCGTTTGGGGCATAGCATTTGCACGGCGTTTTTATTTCTAGCGTTCAGGCTGCTGCAGATACCAGTGTTAATGTTTACTCTTCATACTTCAAGTCTCTCTGATCCGCACATGATTAACTTGTGAAATGCTCATCATATTTTGCTGATCACTCGGCTATGTGTGGCTGTGCCGTGATCATCCCAGCCATGTCCAGTCTGTCTTTTGATCATCACCGCCACACTGTGGCTATGCTCATCTGCTGAGGCGATCACCCTACGATGTACCGTTTTACTCGGTGTCTGCCACACATTGAGTCTACCGATCCAGGTCAGCACTTTCGTCATCGATCATCGTAGCCCAGTGCCTGGACTTGTTATGTTAGGAGTGGAAGCTTGCTCGCTGTATCACACATGCAGGGTGACGTAGCGGACGCCTTAAAGCTTAGCCTGCAAGCAGAAGATTGTGGTGTTGTGAACCTCCATATTGATGTCCTAATGCCGTGGTATCGAACTCCAATATCATACAATAACATACAAACATAACTCCATCGCTCAGTAAAGTGTCGTAACCGCATCAAACCCCGCTTTCCTCCTCCCAATATACAGATAGTCACCTTCCTCTCACTCCATATAAATCCACCATCCGCCATGACATCTAACCCCACAGCCTGACAATCTCCACAACACCCAGACTGAGAGCGGTGATCTGCAGGACGCGACTTGGTGAGAGCATGTCGGATGCCGCGTTTTCGGTGTTGTTGCCTCCAGAACCGCCCTTTCCGCCCTTGCCTCCTTTGCCGCCGCTGCTTGCTCGTTCTTCGAGCTGAACTTCTGGCATAGCTAGGACGCTGCGTGCAGCAAGCGCTTCGCGGAATTGTTTGCGAGATTCGATGAGTAAGGGTTCAGCTACCGCGTCTGGGTTGGCGACAGGTGCTGGGCTGGCGAGCGCGACAGTCGCGAGGAGAAGAGTGGTTGCGGCTGTCAACTTCATGGTGGTGATGTGTTAGGTAGAGTTGCAAGCTTGTGTTTGGAGATGGAGAGTTGTAAAGGAGATAATGAACTCGAGTTGAGGTTTTATAGACTGATGAGTATATCAAGGGTGACTGATTGAGAGATGAGTCGCTGCAAAGAGTCTTTGGTGTAACCTTGAGGCAGATTTGATGAATTGTATGCACGTGGAAAGGAGGCGCGACGCATCGCATTTATGTATTCAGGCCACAAGCGGTGTGCTTCATGAATTACGCCGTGGACGCCTTAATGCTGTACACAGCCTGCGCGCGACAGTAAGATCGCCAACACAGCCTGCTTTCAGCTTGTTGCGATTCTGGTAATGGTCTGTGACGTCGTGAGGTATTGGACCAATTGCAACTGTTGTGGAACCAGTCATGGATAGGCGCGAAATTAGCTGACGGCTTGGCTTTCTTGGCGGTCAGCTGAACAAGCGTCCCGTCCCGCTCTTGGTCGCCTGCCTCGAGAGCTTGACGGTCTTTCAGGACTTTCATGATTCCTGTTTCTTTTCCGAGTGCGGAATCCAGCCAGCGATGCGAACGCAGCTGTGGTAATATGAGCTTCCATGGACTCTTGGTTCTCAATGAAACTCATGTTACCAGTGCTACGTTTGCATAAGACTCGCGAAGTCATTATTCAGCCTTTTCTTGCGTGCCGACAGTGTACAATAACGTTGCAGCATTGAGGAACGAGATGCGGTACATGAAGCGGTACATAGGTGTATAAGCATTGTCTAGATTGTATATGGGTGACTAAGCGGATACTTGTGTATGCGATCCGTATGAACCCGACAGATCCTGTTTGCTTTCCGATGTGAACTTGTCCTTGTCCTGACTTGTTGGTATGCGTTCGAGGCGAACGTGCCCATCGCGTGGCTCGGATCTGGAAGAGGGAGAATTTCGCATCGCCTTTGGGAAGAACTGTCGTGCCATCGGACGAAGAGCAGCGATGCTGACAGAAATGATTCCAAGACTGCATTCGCCTACTGACATGATGACGCACTCGACGCTTTGATCTGTATGTCTGTTAGCCGGAGTGTCCAAGGTGGGACAGATATCGATCTAAGTCTTGCTGCTGGTAGACGTGACGGTTCGCGACTCGGGCGCTGTATCCGAAAGAGCCTTCCAGCATGGACCCCAAATCGAAATATTACTTACAAGTAACATCTAGAACGCGCAAACGATCCAAGAATGCGATACGGACAATGCCCAATATGCTTGCGCTATCAAATGTCAGCGCGGTTCGATGGCGTGCCGTTCATACATACCTTGCACCTCCTGCCAGTAGCACACATAAGACGATTCGTTGCCTTTTCGGCATTTTTAGCCTCCAAATATGAGGCAAAGGTAGCGCGCATAGGAGAATGTCTGTCGTGACGTTGACGGCAGAGCTGGCGTATAGATAGGTGACATAGTCGACACATACGGGTTCGAGGGTAAAGTCCCATGCTCCCTGAACAGGGCGGCATTGGAAGATGGTGACAAAGATTCCTATTAACATTTCAGCATATGTCATTTCTCGAACGTTTTGGCTCATCTTACCCGAAATCCATAGTCCAGCGATGATTACAGATATTGCGTACATCCAGATGCGAAACGTCCTGTCGTGGATGAAACGAAGGTATGAGGATACAATGGCGATCTTCGTTAATGCGATGGCGAAAGCGTAGAGGATCTGGCAGATGAACAAATACTACATCGTGTTAGTTACGACAGCTCAACCCAGTCAGTTCAAGCAGTGCCGATAATCTCGATAGGCACATGTCGCCATGTTTGAGACACAACTCCCAAAACGAGGTTGGCACGTACCAGTATACAGTCCTTCAGAGTGTCGAAGAGGGTCGTCACGGGCAGAAGCCAGATGTGTCGTCCAAGACCATATTGAGTTGCTATTGTAACATTAGTTGGAATCCAGACTCCAAGCGCTTGCTGCTTACCAGCGATACACACTCCAGCCAGCGCAACCGTGAAGACGGCGGCGCAAATAATCAGAACTGTCACACGTCAGCTGAGATCTTTGTGATGCGAGAAATGCGTACCATCATCTGCGAAAATATGACCGACATATTTCCCTCTTGCGAAGAGCCGGAGACCAACAGTCAACACCACCAAAGCAATGAAGACTGCGCATGTTATCGTAAGACTGTTGACCTTCGAAGAGTGGTCGCTGAAATCGAATTGGGTGATGTCGACTTCGATGCCGCCGAAGAACACAGGGTCTGCGTTGGGGTTGGAGTTCTGGCTTGCCATAATGCAAGGTCTCAGTACAGAATGAAGATGAAATCTGTGACAGGGTATGTAGAGGAGCGCGTAGGCATTTGAATCCTCGTGGAGTCGGGCCACAACCGGCCTGATCTTGCGGGGCGAATGGTCTGCGGGAGATGCACAATGAATGCGCAATAGACTCGGTGGATCCCCTTATTATCTCTAGCCCAGCCGTTGTGGCGTCCTTGATCAGGACTGTGGGCAATATCATTAGACCCTTCCATCAGACCGGTAACTCCGACTGACATGTGGAGCTAGCTGTTAATGTGAGATCATGAATCCGGACCGAAAAACAACATTACTTCCAGACCTTTGGACCTCTGGTGTTTGGTATCATGCGCCATCGACTCATGATAGTCTCTTGCCAACTTCTACCCGTGTACGCTCATGTATCGCAACAACACCTCTTCACGATGCGATCATCCAGACGATTGTTTAAGGGATTCCCCATCCAGATGTCGCGCTATTGAAGAAGTGTGGATGTGCCGTACTGCGCTAGCTGGTAGCCTCTTCGACCCCATCACCTGCAAGGGCAGGCGCAGGAACCGATCTAATTGACTGACCATCCAGTAGCTGCTCCATAGGCCATCAGGTCGGTAGTATGTTGATAGGCCACGGCAGACAAACCGAGGAAATGTATCCCGCAGAGGAACTGTGTCAGGTGTATGAGCGTGGTCTCCGAGATCGATCTTAGTCCACTATGCTCTCGAGATGGTACCCTATTCTATGCGGTAATGATGACTACCTTGGGGATGGATGAAAGTATAATTCATGTCGATCTGGTTTCTTCCCCCTAGGAGTTCTCGACCGGCTTTCTTCCGCGGGCACTATGACAGTAGGTGATACTTCCCATGGCCCCTGCTTACTCAGCTCATAATAGCGAATCAGCAGCATCCCGAGGCATGTGTCCCTGTGCATAGACCACGTGCTAATGTACTCGAAACTTTGGGAGTACCGTAGAATCTCACGATGGATGCGTCCCGTAAAGCGATTGCGAGAGCTGCAGTTTGTAGCCCGTTCTGGAAGCGAGCTGGACACGCGGCGTCAAAGATTTCGTTGGTTTCCTGGCTTGGGCAGCATTCGGTTTGGATGATCAGTTGAGAGGAGGAGCATTTGCATAGAGCAAGCGACGGCGTCGAGACACGTTGAACGGCGTGCAACGCGATGGGGCGGGGAGGATGAAGGAGGCACCGCGGACGGGACGGACTCGCTTCCGATGGCGCTGACATGTTGATCGCGCACGCTTTGCAGCACGGACTCGAACCATCTTCTCGCCGTCAGGTCGCTGTTTTTCCTCTAAAGAGATAGGTGTCCTGCATCCTATGGCAATGTGTGCGCAATTCCATGAACCCAATATCGTGAACCTAATCGGCGTGATCATAGCGATGCCTGAGACACCACGTGTTGTGCAGCAGCTTGTACATGAAAGGTAAAACTTTCGACTTAGGCCCAACCTCTCAAATTCCAATTCCTGGGTCGATGTTCTTAGCCTTGCATTATGTAGCGGCTGGCCCGTGAGCTGTTCTTAGTTCTCAGGAGCTCATGTAGAGAGGTCCTGTACACATACATACTGTGCGCAGCCCGAAGCACACCACTACACATAACTCGCCACGCAGAAAATGTTATTCACTCTATGCGGACGATCATTCCAAACCTTGGTCAAATCGCGCGGCGATGGCATCCGCTGCTTGGCGAACTCGACAGCACAGCGGAGCCCCGAAGGACGCGTCTCCTATCTTACATAGGAAGCATCAAAATAATTGGCCTATCGAGATCCAACAGCAAGGCACGGAAAAGTCAGGCCTGTAGCAAGTAAGGCCAAGATGACAATCGACCGAAGTTTCGTGAGGAGACGAGGCTGAGCCGGCGAAAAAGATGTGCTATTAGTGCCGTCTGCGAATGAGCGATGGGCGCCGCGACTCTGCCGATGCTTGAACGCGAAGACATGGATGAGGTGTCGTCGTCGATGTCCACTGTCCTGGAACGCTGATGTTCATATGTAGGTGGGGTACGGCGTATGCGATTGCGTCTGAAGGTAAATTTGAACTTGGCCATTATAAGCTTGCTTTATTGTACAATCGTCAACGTGCGCTCTGGTATCCTTCTTACTATACATTTTCCACCGTGATATCCACCATGACGACATCCACAGATCCGACTGTGCCGCTCCCAACCGAAACAGACAAAGACCGCAAGGACAAGGACGATGATGACGATGACGACGTGAGCTCAACTGCACCTGCTCCAACTCCAACGCCGCCAACACCGAATCCTCCCGGGAGACCATCACCGGCCAATTCACCACAATCTTCCCAAACCTCTCTTCCTTCTCCAACCTCGACAGAAGCAACTGCTTCGGCGCCGGCAGTTTTAGAATCCGGGAATGGCGGTCTGGGCGTCGGTGCGAGCGCTGGTATTGGCGCAGCAGTCGCCGTTGCTATCATACTACTTCTCCTAGGAGGCTGGTTTTGCGTGCGTCGAAGAAGAGCTGGAATACACCGGAAGCGCACCTTCTCGCAAAGTTCGCACGACTTAGAGAACGCTGCAAAAGGGAGCGGATATGGAGGGCCAGCAGAGATGGAGGCTGGGACCAATAGTGAGAAGAGCGCCTCTGAGCTTGCCAGTCCCGTTGTTCCCGTGGAGGCTCTTGGTGATCGTCGACACTTTACGGCAGAATTGCCAGGTTCCGAAGTCCCCCCAGACGGCGGAGCCAAAGGAAGCGGGGAGCGGCTTTTTCCTGACTCGCCAATTGATGACGAAGATGGCCAGTACCACATCGATTCGAAGAGTCTTGAGGAGAAGAAAGCATCATGTTGACAGTCGAGGTTTCCTGTCCGCTAGCACCACAATACACGCTTTTTTATTTCTTCCAGCCTGAAAGCACCTCTCGCATCTCTCTCTCAGTGGTTGGTGTACTCGCGATGAACCGATGGAAAATGTACATTTGGAGGGGGTGACACTGGCGAGCCGTCGTGTGCAGGATAGTCCCTCGACAAGCGCTGCAACGGTGAGACTCCACCAGGAGAAGCTTCAGGTGGTGAGACCATGAGCAGTGGTATGGGGGCATGTGCGGCTTCGATCGTGTGGCTTGTTGTGTCCGGCTCCAGTGCTATGCTCCAAGTCCTCCATTGCTCGAGCTTTCGGACGTACAGTTCTTCCGCTTCTGATGTGGCGTGAATGTTGCCATTTCCCTCTACTTCTTGCACAGCGGTATCGCCATGCAGTTCTGGTATCTGGCCTGCATCCAATTCGTAGATAGTCCGAACATCGGCTTCAACAGGCGGTGGTGTTGGCAGCGGTGGTGACGACGCGGGCGTAGAATACCAAGCTTTCTCTTGTGGTCCTGCTTCGGCATCCATCGACTCTCTCTTTGTCGTCTGGAGTTGCGCTCTCCGAGCCAGCACACGGTTCCTTCGTCTGATCGCAAAGAAAGCAAGAATAGCGATGACGACGACCGATACCGAACACGCTACTCCAATAGCAATACCACGCTTGATGCCAGGAAGAGCCAAGTCCGTTTCGATTGCATTTTCCTCTTGAGTGGTCGTCAGGTTGAAATGTTTCGATGTGGGGAATGGTGTGGGTGTCGCCATAGTTGAGGGATTCACTTGACGTTTCGCACACACGCAGAACGTGAGAGGATGTGGAAGTTAGTGCTTCATCGCGGAGTGCGACCTTCGGGCATATGCAGTACATGGTCGGAGCAAACATTGCGGCGCAGTCGTGAAGCCTGCATGATCGCCGCACCAGCCTGGCTATGAAACCATGCAAGAGGTGCCTTCGGCGGCTACAGGATTATGGGCCGGGGATTCAACCACGCTGCTCTGGACCAACCATGCCCCGGCGCGTAGGGCAGTGCAACAGAAGTGGAACGTGGCACAAGCTTGAGAACCGGCATCACGATCCTTTTTGAGTGGTGGGAAGCAGTTGGGGTTGCTGTAATGTAAGAAGCATGAGGCGTACGCCTATGTTGCGGCACGATAAGCGTGGAGGAGTGGCGGCATGTCATCATTTGCCTCCTAGGTAGAACCACGAACACGACGCTCTCACCGGACGAACTTACAAGTGCTCGCATAGTCCATGTCACTGTGCACCATGTGTTTCTAAACGATGAATTACGCGCTGAATGATCTTGCAGAGGCCCACCCAGGCAATCTAAGCGGGGTGTCTGCAGGTGCCTCCAATCCACATCCTGCGCGGCTCTGCGACTCTTTACCGCTATCTCGTAAACATCGCCTTTTCTTTCTTTCTCAATGTTTAGAAACACTAACTGATACAAGCTCTGTCGCGCTGAACTCAGCCGCGAATTTCAAACCCAAGGGCAGGTTGCTAGGCTGCCTCATAGCCATGGGGGCCGCTGGCCGGTCAGCCTCGCTGGCGGCCTGAACCCACAAGTTCGGGGAAGCGGCCCCATGCGTCGACACGCCTACTACTTGAGTCAAGCAATTTCGCAAGAACTTGCTGTGAGTACCGACGGTTGCCACGTCTTCCTCACTCAGACAATGCATCTTTTGTTGGTGTCCAAAATAACTATCGCAGCGAGCCGATCTTGAGTAGCCATTGGTAGCGGTCAACCCCAACACCTGACAATTCACATGTTGTGGATCACGCCTACCCAGGTAGTCTTTCTAATCGTACATATGGCATAGTCCACAAGGTTCAAATACTCACGACTATACACTGTAAGACTGAAAGTCGACTATGATATACGCAATCCCTGCCGGCAAGCCCAGACGCTCATTTTCTTCACCACGCTGGTGAACGTTTTGAGCGGTATCTACTATTACTTCCATTCTCGATTTGAAGAAGAACGCTTTACTCATAAGAAAAAATTCCAAGTAACATAAAGCAATTATGCCTCAATCTCTCGATCACTAGTGCAGATTGTATCTCCAACGATGAATCCAAGCTCTTGGTCCCCAGGCTACCTGGCAATGGCACATCAGCTTCTACAAACTCGGACAAACCACCGTTAATGACCAGTGCATCTAGCCATCGACTAAGTTATCGCGTTAATCTCAACACGAGCAGAAACTCCGGGTCACAAATACTTCTTCCCGATCTGAACCGTCTGTCCATCCTCATGGTGTTGATCCACAAAACACAATTCCAGGTGTTCACCACCTATCTCCCGGATCTTGACCACACCCCTCCACGTCTCGGAACACTCCACCCCCGCACTCGTCCCATGCAATCTCGTGGTCGGCGTTGTGTTCATTGCCAACGCCACAAGCCCCGCCACATCTTCCCAGCACTCGCCCCCATAATACCGACCCGTAATCCCGGCATAGCTGAGTACTGATACATGGACCAGCACTGAAAGTGCGAATAGAAGTAATACGGCCATGGCTGCCCAAAGTGCGGTGTTCCAGAGTCCGTATCCATATCCATACGAATCGAGTTTGATACGGACCGAGTAGAAATCGGGGACATACCGACCTGGACCCCATTTGACATCACTGTTTGGCCCAAGATAGTTTTCCAGTACCGTTACCACGTCGGACTCAGTGGTGGTATTTTTTTTGAGCAGGGAGTACACCTCTGACGAGTTTCGCGCTATGCCGTCCGTAAGCACGACGCCTAGTAGCATGGCTATTGCCTCCTCGATCGCGCCGCCCGCGTCCTTCGATGTGACATTTGGCGCTGAAAACGCCGTCGTCTCGCCATTGTCTAGTTCGCGGCTGTCGATAGCAGTATTAAGGAACATAGCCATGCCTGTAATGTTAAGAGAGGGGTTGTCGGTCAGCCGCCTAGTTTGGTTTCCGTTGAGGAAAGCGGCCCAGTCGAGCTGCAGATCGAGCGGCTTATCCGAAAGTGCATACCTTGTAATAAGCGATTCGCCGTATTGCCAATCAGTTTCGGAAAGTGTATCGGAAAGTGTATCAGACACATTGCTGGAGACGGTGGTTGAGTTCGCGGGCTGATAGTACGCGTCGCTGGCTGCCCAGCGTGCATCGATCGAGCAGGCCACAATGGCCGAAGATCGGTATCCGTCTGTCGAGGAGTTTGATGCTACAATGGGTACGATTGCCAACGCAAGCAGTGATGTAGATGCGTTCATGCCAGATTCCTTGTACCACTCAAATCGTGAGTCCTCATCCGGAAGCCCATCAAAGATCACATCTGAAGCATCCACATATCCAGGTGTTCCGTAGTTTAACCCCACCGGCCTCCATGCCTGTGATATGTCTGGAAACGATATATTCTCCCGATTTGAGTCCCCATGCCAGAAAGACATACTACACTTTACCACTACAACGGGCTGGAGGAGTGGTGTATCCGCCGTGATGCGTAACCGAGGATATGCAATGTCTCCAACACCTCCAGCGTTATTGCGCCTCGCAAAGTTATAAAAACTGCCGAGTGTCCTCGAAGCCTGCTCTGTAATGACGGTGGTGTAGGTTGAGGTGCCGGAACTATCAGAGTCGGTCTTGACGGCAACCTTACGTTGGACGCTACTGAGGAGGTCCGTAAAGAGCAGATCATTGCGCGATTCAGTCCTCGTGAAACTGGCGAACTAGGGAAGGTTAGTCCTCTGTGAACATATCCTGATGGCATTGGAGCTACACACCCATTTGTATATGTCCATGAAACCGGCTGTCGGACAATCTAAATTCGATGGATTGAAGGGATTGATGAGGCAGCCGGTAATTTCAGTCGCATTCAAGCTCATCGAAGCAGTAAAGTTGGTCGGCCAGATTTCAGCTGCGGTTGCGTTATAGAGAATAGTCGAGCTATTGGCCGGAAATGCGCTCTTCATCTCGAACCATCCCAGCGAAGGGATCATCGAGATAGCCGATGATGGTCCCAAAGCAAAGGACAAAATACAGGCGAGAAATATCAAGCCTCCGAATGGGATGTGATGTCTCCAGCCCACCCAAAACGACTTATGCAGTAGCATGCCGGGTGAGTTTGTGAGGTGGGGTGCGCTGACAAGTCCGAATGGAATGCCTGTGCGTCCAACCAGCAGTTTTCGCATGTAGTAAAAGACGATGAAGGAAAGTGAAGATAGCATCAGCAGCTCATGAATCTTGGCGGCGAACTGAAATGCTTTGAGTTCCATGTTTCGCCGCCGCTGCTTCTTGACCTCGAAGTCACTCCAAAAGGTCTTGGTGATGTGCACCCAGAGAAGGGCACCGATGATGGTTAGTGGTGCGGTGTGTACTAGAATCTCGAGCCACGGAAAGTGACTTTTTAAAGCGACTTTGGCCTTTTCGATGGGTTGGTGCCTGCCTTCGTTAATGTGTTGCGTAGGTCCCATAGGGCGCCTGTGAACGTTGGTGCCATCTTTGCAAGCTGACAACGGCTGGTCGATCAACATCGTAGTCTTTTCTGTCTTTATTGTAGACTGAAGTAAGATAGTGAAACAGAAAAGAGGGCGGAGCGCGGGGATTTGCCATGTTTAAGAAGGCTGAAGATAAGGGCTGTCTGTGTTGATGATGACACTTTGTCATGAGAACCCTATCTAGAGGTAGCAGAGAAAGCCACACAAAAGGCACGCGTGATTCAATAGGTTGGGTAAAATAGTAGATACACATCAGATGCGGGGGCCAAGTTTCTCACAAGATAAAGGTTGCGGGCAACAAGGCTGAGGAGCTGATGGTTGCAATCTTCCACGGTCAAGTCATAGTTGGCTTACGCGACGTGAATATCTCAAGAAAGGCTGAACCTCGAAAAGCTCTAGCTTGTTGGCCTGATAAGAGCAAGACCAATAAGAAATGAACGATCTCTCGTTCTCTTGGATGCTTTATATACCAGGATAGGGTTCCCCGAAGGGCAAACAGCGAGAGATAGTTGGACGAAATCCGCCTGTGATAGCGCATTTAAGGTGATGCCTATTTGCAAGGCAAGACTGGCGAAGGAAAAAAATAGCTTACAGCTTGCTAGAAGTGCCGAGCGAAGAAAGTATCTGATGCGGTCCAGATCGCTGGCGCTCAACTGCTGCAGCTTCAAGAGAGGTCCAGGCAAGGCGAATCAGATGAGCATCTGCTGTGGTGTAAACTTCGCATAGTTTGCTCATGTCCAGGGCAGAGGTGGGAGATTGTTATGGTGTTCGTTATCATGAGTTGTGCAGTTGAGTGTTCAATGGGCTTGTTCATGTATCAACCCCTCGAGGCGTCAGATTGTCGCTTTGGCAGATGGATAGGATAAAGGCCACGCACTGCCGTAGCGTATGGATTCCAGTCATGTGAGAGTCTCGTTAAGATTGCCCAGGTGGTGATCCTTGTGTAGATGATTGGGAAAGAGCCAAGGAGGGTGAGGGAGGGGGTCTAGTCCCGAACGGGAATGGTGCAGTTCGGGAGGATGACGCGAGGCCGAGCCTCATCCATGTTCCCCAACGCGAACATCGGCGCATCCACTCGACGCGACGCAGCAGTGCATCCGCTGAGCACGTGCTAATTAGCTCATGCTCATGGATACAGTATGAACGAAGAGGACGACTACGAGAATGGCGCAAGTAAATATACCCACGACGCTCAGACTAGCTGTCAACTGACCGCGCGCGACAGGCTCCGCCGAGGAGGAAGATGAGCAGGAGGAGAATGATGCCATGGATGTAGACGAGGAGGAAGAGGGCGACGATGCAGACGACGGCGATAATGACGACGACGATGCAGAAGGAGACAACGACAACGACGATGAAGACCAGGATCAAGACCAGGACCAGGACGAGCCCGACAGCCCTTCACAGCGACCGCGCAATAGCATATCCAATGGCGGTACAGCTGGACAAGCAGACGGTAATCCATCGGTCACCCTCACATCACCCAGCCCTCGAGCGGCAGCTTCTGGCGTGCTTGGGAACCTGCCTTTCCACCCCAGTGTGCGACAGGAGGCCTTGAATGCGCCCATATACGACATCATACCTACCATCGCCGCACCGCATAGCACCTCGATCAATGCCATTACCGCCACACCAGACATGCGATGGGTCTTCAGCGGAGGCGCAGATGGCTATATACGAAAGTTCAATTGGATAGACACGGCCAACGGGAAGCTTGCCCTGACTGTGGCCCAGCGACATCCTTTCGTCGACTCGGTCACCAAGGCGGGCGTGCTTCTCTCATACTGGGAGAATGAGGACAGCGCCGCAACCGAGAGCTTGTCCCCTGTATACTCACTCGCAGTACACCATCAAGCGCTATGGCTGTTATCGGGTCTGGACTCGGGAGGCATAAACCTGCAGTCGGTGCGCCATCAGGAGGGAACGCGGATACACACACTCAAGAACCACACCTCAGCCGTGTCAGTATTGACATTGTCGCGGGATGAGACGTCGGTATTGAGTGGTAGTTGGGACAAGACTATCAATGACTGGGACTTGAACACTGGTCAGGTCAAGAGGAAATTCGAAACGAGTGGAGGTCAGATATCCGCAATCGAGCAACGCCCGATGTCTACCTTACCTATACCTCAAGATACCGAAACCCTTCCTACCTCGAACGGCACCTTCTCCTCCAACAACTCCACCCGACCCCGAACCAACGGCGCCCTCGCGAACGGCGCCGATGTAAAGCCCGTGATACCCAAAGAAGAGGGCACAGAGGACGCCCAGGGATCTCCAGATGACTCTCTGTTCGGAGACAAGGATCAGGACTCCTTGTTCGGCGACGGCCAGGAGAACAACCTCTCGGCCACTCTTCCCTCGTTCGGTGGTGACGACGACGAAGACGAGTTCTCGCGAGCCATCGCGAACGGCATACAACAAGCGGACGAAGACGCCAATGCTGACATGGACATGATGGACATGGGCGGTCCTGTACAAGCACCTGAGGAGCCAGCTGCGGAACAAGCTAAGGAACCTCCAGCAGCTGCTGAGAACCAACCAGCAGCGAATGGAACTACAGATGCGCAGCTCAATGGCACTTCCAACGGCCTGCCCCATGCAGAGGATCTCGAACAGTCCACGACTACTTCCGCAAACCAGACCGAGCAGCCAGCTTCCTCTGAAACGACCTTCATGGACGCGTCAATGGACGGCACATTACGTATCTGGGACCGCCGGCAACCGAACCCCGTCGCACGCATAACCCCCTCGCGAAACACACCACCATGGTGCATGAACGCATGCTGGTCACCAGACGGCAACTTCATCTACGCTGGTCGGCGAAACGGCACAGTTGATGAGTATAGCCTACACAAGAGTCTACGAGAGCCGCGACGCACATTCCGGTTCCCCAGCGTCAGTGGTGCAGTGAGCGCAGTTCGGGCTATGCCCAATGGGCGACATCTCATTTGGTAAGCTCACCTCCCCCTCACACGCGCACACATACATACGTGACGTGAGACAAGCTAACATGTACCAGCGCATCATACGACATCCTCCGCCTCTACGACCTTGCCCACAACGATGCGGGACCGAAAGCCGGCGCGGCCGCCACACCCTTCTTCATCGTCCCCGGGCACCGCACCGGCGTCATATCGCAACTATACCTCGACCCGACGTGCAACTTCATGATCTCCACGGGCGGAAATCGGGGCTGGGAGGGAGCATCAACAGAGGTGATGCTTGGATATGAGATTGGCATCGGATCTTAGCATGTACTATACCCATTGATCGCGGCGTTTGGGACGGCGTTTCTTGAACGAGGGGGTCTGCGTGCACTTTTGTGATTGGGTACGAAGAGCAAAGAATAAAGAGACAAGAGTTTTAACGCGACGATCGTGAGTGTAACGCGTGTGCTAGGTGACGTAGCTGGGGTAATGGGCATGGGCATACGCAAGTGCTGATGTTGAGATGTTGCGACGAAGCGTTTAGGTTGAAGCTTATTCTTCTTTTCTTTTTCCTTCTCTCCTCTGCTTGTTGCAGCCCTCACGTTTGTTCTGCCATTGCAGCTGATTGACTACTTGCAGGCTCGGCATTCCCGCACCATGTCGATAGTGTCACGCGGAACACGCGTCCACCTTAATTTTTTTTCTGTGTGGGAGGAGCGGGGTAATTTTGATGAAGTCTTTCCCAGAAGCGCTTACTATCGCTTTGACCCGCGGAGAGGAGTATACCCAAACATAGACAGTAAAGGAGATGACGTAGTCGGTGAGAGCCTCGTTGTACCAAGGACATGCGTTGGGCGCGAGGATAGGGGCAACCAGTACGCGCGCGCATCTCAACTAGATTTCGGATCGAGAGGGGCGATTAGTCGGATCAGAGTCCGTGGTGTTGCAGAATTCGAAGAGACGGCGGGGCTCATCTCAACCATGCACCCCACAGACAGGATCCCTGGCACCGGCGTCGGCATCCAGTCAAGGCGACTGGAAATCTGTCAGCGCTGGTATATATGCCGGCATTCAACACTATGTAAGTCGCTATCGGCACGGTGTGTCGGCGTTTGGTGCAGGAACACCAGCGGTGAGCGCCTCGTATGTACGAACGGAGACGGAATCGAAACGAGATAGGCGGCCAATGATCATCTCTTTCGAACTTTTCTTCGCCTCGCCGAAACTCGAGCCCGTAACTGTAGGCGCGCGTCATAAAAAGTCCGAAGTGGACCGATGCTGGTCCGATATGTGTTTCAAGAAACCTGGAACAAAAGCGTCCGAGTTGTTGTAGACCCACAGGTATGGTGTTTCTTCCTTGGTACAAATGCAGGTTGACGGTTTGGGGAATCCCTGCTGGGGATTTTGTACGCTAGCGAGCCACTCTAGCTCCCGGGCGCTCGCGCCTCGTAGATCGTATCGCGGAAGGCATGGCGGAAAGGGCGGTGTAGGGCGGTGAAAGGCTTTGGGAGATGCATCGTGGAGGACGTTGAGGGACGGACTCTGCGAGGAGGTAGACGTCGGTTGTGAAGAAATCTAGTCTTGCTGGGGTCGTCCCAGCGGTGAGTGGTAGATCGCAGTACGCGTGCCACTGCATCGGTCGATTTGTGTAGACTAAGGACCCAATGATTTGAATGGAAAAAAACAAATTGTGTAGAGAGCGCTACTGGGGGCATGCTGCGTTGTAGTCCACCAGATGTGGTAAGACGTGATGCAGTCAAGGGCGAAATGCTGCGAATAGCAACGCCTCATCTGCGTGGAAGCCAGCATGTCAGGGAAGACCACGCGCTTCGAAGGAAGACGATGAGCTTCTATTCGTAGACGTGATTTGGTTCGCATTAGATGAGATACTGTAGAACCGTCCAATCCCCTGTCGAATGCCGTTCATTATTGGCGTAAGCGACATGTAGTAGCATCTGGAAAGAGGAGCCGAGATTGTCACATCTGGTCCTAGTCACCCAACAAGGTAGTGTTCTTGAGTACTCAGCCGCGACAGACTCGTGCACGCCGAACATCATTCGCAACACGAACAGCCATGAGGCGCTCCAAAACTCGTTTCGATAGCTGAACGTGAGCTCCCAAGACTTCGCCTGCTAGCATTAGCGAGCAGGACGCGTTGAAATTCAAGAATTCAGGCGACTCCGACTCGTCAGGCGGCATCAGGGTTCAGGTGACACTGCCGTGGGTGAGATAGAGTTCTTAGTCAGATATTGAGGCGCAAGCCCAAATTGGCGCCCGGGAACCGCGTTACCCACGTCTACAGCATCCGACTATCGTCGACGTTGACCGCAACGTCAGAAAACGGTGACTGTAACATTACAAAGCCCAACAGGAGGGTCGTGTGTATGCACACTACGTCATTCCATCTTTTGTAGAGCCCAAGCGAAATCGGGCCGTATCGCGGTTGTAAGGAGGAATCTGGGAAAACAGTAGAAATCTCAAAATACTGGAGAACTGGATAGTGGAGCCGAGAGGTGATGCCGCGTTATCCCAGGCTGTCGAATGATACGGGTAATACTCCGTGTAGGCAGACCACCGTGCCAGGCTTCAATAGTGGAAATTGTCACGGTGATCCAAAGTTAATGTAGTTTGTCAGTGTGGTGTATTGGAGCCGCATCAGCTGAATCATCCACGGAGCTGAAACCCTATCCATGACCTTTCCGTGAAACATTTCTGGAGGAACGCCACCGGGTTCGGTGTAGTCGACCGTCGGCTGCAGGCACAGAACAAAGGTTCACGCAAGCAGCCTCGTCATGCTCACGACGAGCGTGGTAGGGCGGATGTAGCGGGACTCTAAGCAGTTCAGTCATGGCCTCTCAGCGACGCAAGCGAGCGGCGTGTGAGCAGAAGAGGGTGTATGATGGACCAAAAGAGGCAAGCCTGGAATGAGGCTGAGTGGGAATGGAGAGGTTGTGATGGTATGCTGGTGTGATCTGCCCCGCCGCTAGCGCTGTATCGTGACTACGTAGTGTCTTCGGGCCTTTGGCTCCACCCTTCACGCCTAGTGTCGCCATTCCTCTTCACGGCTCGCTGCAATTTGCACGATCGCGCTGTTCAGTCTCTGGCCATAGTTTGATGTCTAGCGGCACTCCATCGATCGTCAGTCCTGCATTAACGGCCGTCGAGTCCGCAACACCTAGTGGCCAATGCGCGCGTGCAGCCTGCAGGTCATCCTACACCGAGATGGTGTGCCGCCAACCATCTCATGTGGCCCGCCCGCCATCACTCTGCCTGTCACCCATTCCTTTGCGCCCTGGGATCCTTACCTCTTCTGCTCACGCTGCACTAAGCTTCTCATCCACACCGCACGCTAATGCGCATGCACTGCACATGCAGGGCACCTCTTCCGGCTGCTTCGCTCGCCTGTCAACATAAGTACCCAAGGAATCCTCCAGAATATGCATCCCGTACCCAGACATCTCGCGGAGGATAAACCACGGTTCCTACTAACTGTCGCTTCTTGACTTGCCCTCTCCCAGGCAAACACTCTCCAGGCAACACTCCCATTGTCTCATCTTCGCCCACTCTCCCACGCCGCCCACTCGTGACTTCCTCAGAGGCCTACGCCAAAGTCACGCATATATAGCTTGCGTGCGCCGCTCACCACTGGCGAACCTACTACCAAAATCTCCTACCAGCACCACTTGTGAACTCTCTTCACCGAGCGTTCGCGAGCTGTTGTTTCAGGAAGGACCGGCCAGGAGCCGGGGGAACGAACACCATTCTCGGTCACATCGCCTTTGTCAAGGTTGAATCAAGCGCTAAGCCATCACTACCTGTTCGACGTTCATCGCTCCTCCGAAAATTCAAGGACTTCCTCTTAATAATGCCTTCCTATCTACGAAGCACCCCTCGCGCCTACTCCTTCCCACCATGGGTCGAGAATGGCAACGACGACACTAATGAAAACGATCTTCCGGACATCGACGAAGACCCCTTCTCGCACTTCATCTCACCACCCATCACCGAGGCTGACGACCCGTACGAGCTGTCCCTGAGCGCAGGCATTGACGTCCAGGAAGGACCGCGCACCACAAAGTCTTCCAAGTTCAAGTCCAACCTCGCCAACAAATGGACCCGATATGTCAAGCACAACCACAGCCAGCTCCACACCCAGTATCACGCACCTACCATCTACGAAGAGGACGAGGAGGAGTCTTTCATGGGGCTGGACGACGACCGATTGAACGACACGCCACACGTCGTGTCTCAGCTCAGCCCTCCACGGATCAGAATCACTGAACCATCACGAGGTCGCGCACAAGACCTTGCCACTCGCAAACAGCAAAACCGTCGCCGGTACTCGCGCACACTATCTGGTCATCGCCACTCATGGAGGGAACCCAGCCCGGACCTGTTCACTGTAGACGAATCTGAAGAGGAGGATGTTCCTGCGCTACGTCGCGCAAAAACTAGGAAGCCCAAGGACGGCGCGGAACGCCGGAGGTCATCGACCCGATCAAAATCGAGAGCACGAGTCGACTCGGTAACGGGGGAGTCGATCTTGTAGCACGGTAGCATGGCAGCACGGCGGGGTAGAGAAAAGGATGCATCATGGGGAAGGGGTTGGATACACAGCATTGCACGGCGTTGGTGGCTTTTTGACTTTACACACAGCATTGGGAGGCGTTTCCGGTATACCACGGGCTTGCATTTTTATGGTTACACGCATTGGGCGGTGTTTTACTGAGCATTTACACATACTGTACTGCATTGCGCGCCGCGGCAGCATGATAGCGATCGAACAAACAAATTCCACTTCATAATATCTTCAAGCTTCATCCCCTCCTTCGCACTTCGCTCGGTGATATGCCTATGACGACCTCATCAAACGCAACGGGCCAACCCCTTCCATCGTCAACGTCCGTCGGCCGTACACTGAGTCGAGCACACGCAACCATCCCCCACCCGAAAACGCAACTACTGCAGACTAAGAGACAAGCGTGCAGTACCGTGACCTCACGCCGCATAACCCACGATAGCGAAAAACCACCAACAGCGCCCAAATTACCCCTCCACCCGCCAAACAGCGAACATCCCTCTTTCGCGCGCTTACCGCTCCAACCCTAAACCAACCGAAAAACCTCCGCGGCGACTGTCACAGCAAGAATAATCGGGTCTCCCGGCACCACCGCTACAGAGGCGAAGATGATCTTATCTTGCCGGCCAACTCAATTTTTTTTCTTCCTCGTCTTCCGTTCAGCCTCACGATTGCCTGCAGCAGACCAAGTCGTGATTTTCGTCTGCTATTACTCCAACAAGGACTAGCCATACGCGCTTTGTTCTGTATCTTGCATGCAGCCTCGTGCACTGCGCATGTTGCATGAGAAAAGTGTGCCCAAGAAACATTTACCGGCATATATCCAGCCAGCTTCACCAACCACGTTTTCGGATTTCTTACCCCTCACTTCGTCCATTCACGAAGCGCAGCGTGCCGACATTATCGCAGAAAAAGGGTATTTTGCACTGCGCATCTTTTTGGGTGTACTTTACGCGAGGAGATCTACACATGTACACTGCTTACCTTTCCTAAAGTTGCCATAACATGACCTGACCTAACCTGACCACTTGTCATGTCCACGCTTTCCCATCCGCTTCTGATGGGCAAGACCCTGCGTTTTGGGAGGATTTACCCTTTTGACCCTTACAGATAGGACGACGATCTTACTATGGCGTGCCGCAAAGGGTCACGGGGCGCGAGGTAAGCGGCGGAGGGCTTTGATCCGGGGTCGGCATAGTTGACGATGGTACTGAATCATGAGGCTGCCTGGCGTGATTGTGATTGCGACAGGCGGGGTCCTAAATCTTTTTTGGTAGTTTCTCGTTACGACGGTGGGGTGGGGTGTGGGTTGGGCATGTGGCCTGTCTTCGGGAGGAGAGTGGCTTCTTGTGTAGAAGGGCCGACTCTGCGGGGTCGGCATTTGCAGACCCGTGAAGTGGATTGGTGGCTGGATAAGATAAATGTGAGGTTGGGTGGGTTGACGAGGCACACATGTTCACGATCGAGATCGTAGGATTTGGTGTTCGCCGTGTGCATGGCATGATGCGCAAGATATCGTCATGTCGAAGGATCTGGATATGTCGTGCGCAGCGCTGCAGCCGCCTGGCTTCTGGGACGCAGGGCAATGATAATAAGGAAGGCCGATCTATCTGGCGTCTCGCTAAGTGGACCACAGCCTGGGGAAGCTTACGCGTGGAGTAGACTGACTTTCGGGAGGCGTTGGAGTGGAGATGATCATATCGCCACGTACTACCAACGAAGGGTGAATGTTCATGGCAGTCAAATGTTGCTCGAAATACGCGATGGCAATCGTATGCTCCAAACATGGCAATGTTACAGTAGGCGTACTCGTACAAGCGATCCTCATGCGCATGATTAGTGCAGATCTTCCAAGGTTACGCGCACTACGCGTCGCTCGGAATGACGTCGTCACCTGAGACGCGACTCCAGCTTTGACCACCCATGCACCACATCCTTACACATCGCGACACCCTGCCCTACCATCTCAACACCCTATAGTACCACCATGCCGCGTTTAGATGAAGATACACAACAAACCCTGCGCGATGCAGAACAAGGAATCAGACGGCGAACAGCCAGTGCCTGGGACAGCTTCAGCAACTTCGCCCTACGCGACAACGTGCTCGAAGTAGCCGTCGGACTGATGTATGCCACTTCCATTAACAATACATACGTACATACACCATGCTGACCCACAAATCAGCCTCGCAGCCTCCTTCACTGCCGTCGCAAACTCCCTTGTCTCCTCCATCATCCTCCCCGTAATCTCGCTCCTACCCTTCCTCTCCCGCAACCTCGACGCCAAATTCGCGATCCTACAATCCGGACCCAACTACAACACCACCATCTCCAACGGCTACAACACCCCTAAGCAGGCTGTTGACGATGGCGCCGTGGTGCTAGCGTATGGCGAGTTCTTGGACAAGATAGTCAGGTTTTTGGTTGTTGCGTTGGCGCTTTGGGTGATGGCGCTGGCGTATTCGAGGGGCAGTGGGGATAATATTGTCAAGAAGCAGGTGAAATGTCGCTTCTGCAGGAAGTATATTAGTGAGAAGGCGAAGAGGTGTGTGAATTGTACGAGCTGGTTGGACGGAAGGGAGGATAGAGGGTAGGATGTAGTTTGGAAGGTAAGTGTTTATATTAATACGGCAATAATGGTATCTCAGTGCGCTACCAGAGGTTGGTATCTTTCTCCTCCTCGGGTTCGAAAGCACAACATCTCCATACCGCATTCTCGAGATGGTCTTCCCTACAATCAAGTCCCCGATTGTCCCGCCGCGTAATTATGCCACGAAAGTGACATGGACCATCTGGTAGGCCCAATTCTTCTTGGCAGTACATCAAATTAAGACTCTTGAGTGATCTATACCGTTCAGATTCATACTGATGAAATATCGAGTACGTGCCCCAATCTAGCTCAATACCAGAAAACCCCCCTTGCGATGACACGACGTTACCATGGGCTTCAAAGCGAAGTCCACTTTCAATTTCGCTTACTTGAATAGGCTTGATATGGGCGCACGCAAGACCCTCCGTTTCGCTATTGACGTAGGCGCCGAAGAAGTGATGGGGCAGTCCGAGGAGCTTCTCTGCCCAGCCCTCATCTTGGCCTTCTTCGTTGAGACGCATTGTGAGATAATGGAGATGTCGTTTCCCCGAGCTGCTCTTGAAGCCGAGCGGCGCTATAGTCAGATGTGTCGATATCTTGTCTGGGTTGTCGATAAATAGGCGCTCCAACCTGATTGGCATGCCGTGGAAAGAGATAAGCACAGTGAATGGTGCCAACTCTTCTCGATCCGCATCATCAAGCTTCATAGTGATATACAGGGACTGCTCTTCCCTATCTCCATGTATACCGCACGGTGCTATAGTGAGATAGGTCGCCTTCTTTACTGGGTCATCAATGAATAGACGTACAACTCGAATCGGCACTTCATAGAAAGATAAGTGTATCGGGTACGTGTACGTATCCCAACTTCCCCCCTGTTCCACAACCGTCACCTCAGGTCACAACGCAGAGAGGGGCTCTGCATCGAGAGTGACTTCCGGTTTGTCTTTCGCCCATTGCGACGCCTTGTGAGGCGACTCCATCTCGAAAAAGTTGTCGAACGGCGTCATTTTAGACGAGATGTACACTTGTAAATGGAGATTAAGACGCTGGGGAACATGGCGATCTCATACACCGATCCGCGGATGGTTCACCTTTTGAACCCTCGCTCGGCGAGTCCATCAGCAATGTACGGGAAAAGGCAATCTGCAACCAGGCAGAATTAAGGGAGCGCAGGGTGGTGACAAGGTCAGGACGACTTCCTAGATCGAACTTCTCACCAAGGATGAAAAGAGGGAAGTCTTCGCCGCGGTCTTGATGGTCGTAGGCTGGCTCGTGAATGGTTTTGCCATTTCATTTGGAGAAGTTGAATACGTAACGTGCCTTGTAGTAAGAGTGCAGACGACGGTTTTCGGGTGTGGGTTTAAAGAAGTATGGCTCAGTAAGGGCAGGAAAACGCTTCTTGTATGGTGCCGTTTGTTTGCCGATACGGCCGTTTTGGACCCGGTTCGACATTGCAGTGTCGATTATTTTCGTGGGTTGCGGCTTCCAATCGATGTTTCGGAGTACAGGAAAGTGATCAAAACCCCATAGTACTCACGGCGCGACTATGCTGCTGCTTGAGTAATGGAGATCGGGATCAGAGGGAGATGAAGTGAGAAGGACATATGACTAGGAAGAAGTAAAAAAGGAAGACGGTGATGAAGGATGGAGATGACGTAGGTGAAGTTCAAGTAGTTTCCTTTCTCAGTAGGTTTATTGAGCTAGACGGTTTACAGTCAGCCCCATTCAAAACAGTCTCAAAGGCGAGAGAGTTAGATAACCTCTGATAGAATGTGTAAATGACGTAGATATCACAATCAACATGTCAAGATACTCACTTCTAACCCTCCATGAACTTCGCAACAAACCGCGCAACCTCCGCCGGCCTCTCCACCATAGGCAAATGGCCAGCGCCCTCCACAACCTTAAGCTCAACCCCACCCCCCAACTTATCCGCCATATTCTCCTTCATAGTCTTAGGCAACACCCCATCCCCGGCACCCACCAAGAACGCGCCCTTCCCCTTATACCCCTCCATCTTATCCCTAATATCATACTGATGCAGCGCCTTGACCGAATCCCTAAACCCAGCCAAACTGTTCGTCTTGACCATATCCTTAACACGTTGAATCTTCTTCGCTAAGTCCGCATCGTCGTAGGACTCTTTGACGAACCAGCGGCGCACAGTCATCTCTGCGAGTTCTTCACCAACAATGGGTTCCCCGGAGGAGGCGGTGAGACCTTCTTTTTCGGCGACAGCGACGCGGTCGTTCCAGGCGTTTGCGTTAGATGGGGGTGCGAAGGCATTGGTGTCGCAGCCTATGAATGCGGTGATGCGGTCCGGGTAGGAGAGGCCTGCATTGAGGGCTGTTGCACCGCCGAGGGAGACGCCGACAATGGAGGCTTGCTTGACGCGCAGGGCGTCGAGGAGGGCGATGACGTCGTCAGTAAGCGTGTGTACTGTGATGGGCGATGTGGAGTTTGAGGGAAGCGTGTTGCGGCCACGGGTGCTGTATCGCAGGATGCGGTACTTGTTGTTTGTAGCTGCTATGAATTCGGCTACGAAGTCGTCCCAGATACCGTAGTCGACTAGGATACTGTTTGAGAGGACGAGCAGAGGCGCATTGGGATCGCTAGAGCCTTCAAGGCGGTACGGGAGTTGCACGCCGTCTTTTGTTGTGACAAAGCTCTCGATTACTGGTCGCTTCTCTGGTGTGGTGTGCGCGGGATGTGTCTTGACCATTCCTTCCGAACTCTCTGCTGGTACAGTGTCTTTACTCGCCAGACTTTGTAGATCGCGCTGTGCAGCTCCAAATGTGTAGTAGAGGTCGTACACTCTCCTCTTCCTGTCTTTTACAACATCTTTGTAGATCTTGTCGCACCACTCCGTTGTAGTAGCAGCCTTGAACTCTGGTCCTCCTAGCCCATTCTGCGGCGCGTACTCATGCAGCGCAAGGTACTCTTTCTCCGTCTTGTGCCCGCTCTCTAGATCTAGATATGATGTTACGAATCTCCTCGTCCTCCTCCAGCCTGGCACCTTTTGCAGAAGAGGTACGTGTTCCTCATCGTACCACTTCTTCAGCTCCTCTTCCTTGTCTGCGCCCTCGTGTAGTGCGAAGCTCACGGCAATCATGACGTTCTTCTCTCCCTCGTTTTCAACTTTCTGCAGGTCCTTGAAGTCTCCACCCTTCCATTCTCCTAGTAGATCGTAGGACCGCCTGTCGACGAAGATCTGTTTCATAGTATCGCGTTCTCGTTGCGACTGCACCGGTGCGCTTCGAAGCTTCGTATACGGTTCCCTGGTGAGCCACTCGAGTTCGTCAAAATCATAGATGGCCATCCATTCTGGCTTATCTTTGGATCCAGACGCGCTCTCGAGGTCGGTGGCGCGATAACGGAAGCCATTGTTGCAAAAGGGAAGGCGAAGGCGATTGGGGCCGTGTTCGTTCTGGTACCTTGGAGGGAAAAGTGTCAGGTGGGATCGTGAGGTAGCAAGAATGCGACTGCGGAGGGGTCAACTTACCAGTCGTGAAACTGTGCCTCAGGCAGGCCCTCTTTGGGCTGCATCGTCACGTACAAGATGCCTGGTGTTGATTTGGCTGCCATTGTATCTGTCGTGTGGGATAGCTGTGAAGTTCAGTGTAAGTGCCGCAAGCAGTGGACAGACGACTGGGTGAGAAAAGAAGGTTGGAAAAGAATTAGATTCGATGATTGCGACTATACTACTCCAATTATCTCGTGCAGGCCATGACGAAGTTGGGGAAAGAAGAGCTCCCCCGATGACATCTGCCGGCTGGCGTTAGTTCGGGCGACGGCGGTACCGCTGCCCCTCATTCTTCCGAGGCTGAACACAGACCCGCCGCTACCACGCGTGTACGCTACGTTTCGGGACGTGGAGGAGTCAGGACCATTACAACATGTAGTACTCGACCACATCAAAGTTCATGCTGGCATACTGAAATTGCTGTGTCGTAATGTCGATCTCTTAATTCTACCCAAGTGCCCTCTATGCGCAAACACGTGTATCGGTCTAATCGTACCAAATAGCATTCATACCAAAGCCCTTCTCACCAATTTCCAACCTCGCAACTCTTGCCAGAAATTCATCCTGCCACCTATATATCTCGACGCCGCCCTTCTCATCATCCGTGAGCGCTAACCACTCATCTGCCCAAGGACACGGCGATACCGCATTCGAATGGCCACCAGAGGTCGGCGTAGGATTGAGGCAGATTTGTCGCTCAATGGCGCCTGAGGGAGCGATCTTGAACGCAGCAATGTAACCGGTTAGGGAGAAGGAGTTGGATCGGGAGGTTGCAAAGAGATAGTTTGAGGATTTGGTGAGGAAGCAGACGTCCGAGCGATACATTGTGGTTGCGTTGGGGATACCTGAAGATGTATTTAGCTTAGAGTTGGAAAGCAATTAAAGGTCGGCCTACCAGGCGGGATCAATGGGTACGTCTTGTGTGTGTAGACTGGCAGCTTGGTCTGCGGATCAATGACATACTCGCACAACCGATTTCCTGCCTCCATCAAGGCGTATAGATAGTTCCCTGACGGATGCATCTCTACCCATCTAGGGTGGTCTTTCGGCGCGGGAGCCTCAGTGAAGCCTACTGTTTCAAGCCTTCCTTCGTCATCTATCTTCTTATGGCACCAGACCCGGTTTGCCCACATATCTGCGCTGTAGAGATAGCTCTCTGAGGGATCGAAGACCATGCCGTGGATTGCTGTCTTGTCGCAGTACTCGAAGTTCTGGATGTTCTCTTTGATATGGCCTTCAGGATTAACCGAGAAGATGTTGCCGTAGCCAGCATAGTCGTAGAACGGGTTGCAGTATACGGCATAAGGAGGCTTTTGGGCGGGGAGAAGGAAGATTGCACGCGTCTTGGTGTCGGCATCATTTGCTTTGGCTGAGAAACTCGTCAGTAACAGCAACCTGCACTGATTTTGTGTCGCTTACGATGTCCGCCCATGGGAAAGCTTCCTGTATGTACAATCTCACTCGGGCTCTTGACTTCGTGTGAGCTCCATTTTTTCATAGAAGCACCATAAATGTTCTTTCTCTTGTGCTGTATTCCTGGTGATCAGCCATTGTTGGTCGCATCGAAGTTGGAGAGTTGCGCGCATACGTCAAAAGCCATCCAGCTTATGGGCTCATCCTCTGGGATCTCCGTCTTCTTCACCAACTCCAGCTTCAATGTTTCATCATCGAATGCGACTGTGATGATCACACCTGGTGGCGTCCAAGTGCCGATCATGAGGTGATGTTTGACCATGATGGTGGTTGCTTCCTTCCACGGGACGTGTCTTTTGTGTCAACAAACAGCCCGCACCAAAAGCTGATACTCTGGGATGTACTCCGAATCCTCCCTCCGCTCTGCGATAATTCAGCCATCGCGTCGCGTCCCTAGACTCCCGGGGTCTGCGCCGAAGGCGGGGCATTAGTGCTGATGACGCTAAATGGCGAGGGAAAAAGGCCGGGTAAGTCTTCTTCCACATCGGCTCCCTTTTAATTCGCCAACCTGCCCAGCGCGAGGCGGGGCAGCCGTCGCGACCTGGCGCAGCCTTCGGCACTGTAGCTCCTCGCGCTCATAGTACGTTTGAAAGCCGGTACAGCATGCCGCCAGACAGCTCTGACAAGGTCTCGCCTGATCCGCGGCTAGAGAGACGGCCATTGTCAACGGTATCGGTTCGGTTGGCGGCGGGTGGTAGAATTCAGGTACTATTTATTAAGCCCATGCCTCCCAGGCATGATGTCTACTTTACACTACTTTCCCTGTACCATTGCTTTGATACCCTCTGTACCTTGATTCACAACATACCTGCAGATCCAAAATGAACCCAAACACACAGACAGCGCCTGAGGTTCAGGAGAATGGCTCGCACCGCTTTGACCCTAACTTCACCGACGCCGTCATCAACGCTATCGGACCAAATGTGCCAGACCGGACGCGTTTTGTCATGGGCAAACTGATCAGGCATCTTCACGACTTCATCCGCGAGGTCGAGCTGACCAACGAGGAGTGGTTTGAGGGTGTGCGATTTGTAAACTCCATTGGCAAGACCACAACAGCCACCAGGAACGAGGCGCATCGCATCTCAGATGTTCTGGGTGTAGAATCGTGAGTTGTCCAAACCCGAATAAGTCCAAAACTGGAGCTAACTTCGACCTAGATTGGTCGACGAGATCGCACACAAGCACATCAACGAGTCTGGCGAGACACCCACCTCCTCCACAATCCTCGGCCCCTTCTGGTCACCACACTCGCCATTCCGCGACCTGGGCGACACCATCATCCGGAACCCGCACCCCGATGGCCAAACGACTCTTATGCACGGTGTAGTCATGGACCTTGACACCAAAAAGGGCATCCCCAACGCCGTCATCGACATCTGGCAAGCGAGCGCAAACGGAAAGTACGACTTCCAGGATCCCGAGAACCAGGAGCCCAACAACCTGCGCGGAAAGTTCACCACAAACGAGAAGGGCGAGTACTGGTACTACTGCTACAAGCCAACAGCGTACTCGCTGCCAACCGATGGTATGTTGTCCTTTGAAGACATTGTATGAGCAAGACTAACATACAACAGGCGCCGCTGGCCAACTCTTCAAGACACTCGACCGCCATCCCTTCCGTCCCGCGCACATCCATCTCATGGTCTCAGCAGAGAACTACAAGCCGCTCATCACACAATTATACCCCCGTGACGATCAGTGGGTCACGAACGACACTGTCTTTGCCGTCAAGGACGATCTGCTGCTAGACTTTGAGCCTAGCAAGGACCCCAAGGCGAAACTCGACTTGACATACAATGTTACGCTTGCACCGGCGGGTAAGAAGACAACTAGATTGGAAGGTATCCCTAGGTTACCAAATGTCTTTGATGAGCAGAGCAGGTTGTAAATAGTTCGTCCTTTGCGGTGTTGGATATGTATATATTTGGTATAGTTGGATCTACGGAAAACTACGCATGAATGAATTCTCGATCGAATGATCTTTCAAAACCCTGATTTACTCACTCTTATCTGAACAACTAGCATAGTTTACCAATGCCATGCCTCGCTATTCCGTATACCGGAAAGCATATTCGAGACAGTCCCTGCATATGCACAAGAATGATATATAGTCTCCGCCTTTCCCTATTTCCCCGTTTCTAATGTCCCTCCGCCCACTGTCAGCAAAACTCGTTCGCTCTCCAACCCGTCCCGTCATACCCACCACCCACCTACGACCCTTCAGCTCTACAACCGTCCTCAAAATGCGCGTTCCCTACGCCCCAAGCACGCCCCCAAATGAAGAAGCCCGCCCAATTTATGAGCGCATCGCCGAGCGACGAAAGCCCCGCCCCCTCATCCCGCTCGACCTCGCCCTTTTACACAACCCCGCCGTAGCAGACGGCTGGAACTCTTTCATCGGAGCAATCCGCACGCAAACCAGCTTACCAGCCAACCTAAAAGAGCTAGCTATAAGTCGCATCGCGGTGCTGAACCACGCAGTCCACGAGTGGGACGTGCATGCCGCTCTGGCGCTGAAAGCAGGTGTTTCCAAACAAGTGCTGCAGACTGTCTTCGACTTACCCGCCACGAAACGCGGGATGGTGGAGAGAGAGGGGCTGTTGGGATTCAGCAAGGAGGAATATGCGGTCATGGTTTATACGGATCAGATGACTGTGGGTGTGCAGGTTGAAGATATGGTTGCGGACATGGTCAAGGGCGTGTTGGAGAATACCATGGTTGTTGAGTTGACGGCGACGGTTGCGGCGTATAATGCTGTGAGCAGATTTTTGGTCGCGCTGGATGTGGGGGAGTGTAACGGGAGGGGCATGAAGCGTGTTGATGAGCTCTGAGTACTTGATAGTGGTGTATGTAGATGTCTGGTGGCAGATGGGAAGGCAGAGCGGAATTACGCCGCTTCCTCCTTCCCCGGACCCTGGTCCTCCGCAATCCATCAGTTAGGAAGGTGCCTCGGTCCATCAGCCGTCGCAAACCGAACTTCCAAGACTGTATTGTCAAACATCTCACCACTTTTCTTAACGATTTCTCTTCAACTTTTCAATTTTCACGTTACATCATAATCAAAATGGCCTCCCTAGCCCCCCGCCTCTTCACACGCAGCATCCGCCAAACACGCGTTCCTCGCGCCGCCATCCTCTCCACCACCACAGCCCGCCACGCATCCACCAAGCACCCCAAAGCCTTCACACCCCCCTCGCAATCCGACCTCGACGAACTCCGTGACTCTGTCCGCGACTTTGCCCAGCGCGAGATCCCCGAAGAGCTCGCGGCTCGCACAGACAAACAGAATGAATTCCCCAACGAAATGTGGCAGAAGTTTGGCGAAGCGGGTTTCCTAGGCATAACCGCGGATGAGGAGTTCGGCGGACTGGCAATGGGCTACCAAGCCCACTGTGTCGTTATGGAGGAGCTATCACGGGCGAGCGGCAGCATAGGACTGAGTTATGCGGCGCACAGCCAGTTGTGTGTCAACCAGTTGATGTTGAACGGGAACGCAGAGCAGAAGAAGAAATACCTACCTGGTTTGATCAGTGGGGAAAAGATCGGGGGGCTGGCTATGAGTGAGCACAGTGCTGGGAGTGATGTTGTTAGTATGAAGAGTACGGCGAAGGAGGTGGATGGTGGGTATTTGCTTAATGGGACCAAGATGTGGATTACAAATGTACGTTCCCTTGCCGTTTCCATGTATGAGGCTGTTAGGGGGAAAGAGATATGCTAACAAGATATCCACAGGGGCCAGACGCACACGTAATAGTCGTCTACGCCAAAACCGAACCCAACGCCGCCTCCAAAGGCATCACAGCCTTCATCCTCGAGACCTCCACCCCCGGTTTCAGCCTCGCGAACAAACTAGACAAACTGGGTATGCGCGGCTCCAACACCGGCGAACTCGTTTTCGAAAACGTCTTCGTCCCCAAGGAAAACGTCCTAGGCGAGATCAACCGCGGCGTCCGCGTCTTGATGGAGGGCCTGGATCTCGAGCGCCTTGTACTCTCAGCGGGGCCGCTGGGTCTCATGCAGGCTTCGCTTGATAACGTCCTTCCTTATACACATCAAAGAAAGCAGTTTGGTACGCCCATTGCGCATAACCAGCTTGTGCAGGGCAAGCTCGCGGATATGTACACGAAATATCGGGCTAGTCAGGCGTTCACATACAGTGTCGCCCGCGCTGTGGATGAGTCGCATGCTAGTCCTGATATCAAGACTCAGGACTGTGCAGGAGCAATTCTGTATGCGGCAGAGAGGGCGAGCGAGGTCGCGGCTGATGCGGTGCAGTTGATGGGTGGCATGGGATACATGAACGAGGTGCCCGTTGGCAGGATACTTAGGGATGCCAAGTTGTATGAGATTGGCGCTGGGACGAGTGAGGTGAGGCGAATGGTTATTGGACGGGCGTTTAACAAGGAGTGGAAGCAGGACATGTGAAATTAGAAGATCAATGAGGTCATGCGTATAAGAGACAAAAGTTAAATACCCGTTATGGAGTGTGTGTAGGAATGAAAAACACGTCCGCCTTCAGATGATAACATGGTATCCGCCAGATGTGACTACAAGTCAAACATGCTATCTTAGATTCGTGTCGTTGTAATCCGCATATAACCTGAATTCTTCATCTTCTTCTCAATCGTCCCAGGTAATTCACATCAGCCCCGATCCGTCATATCTCTCTTCATCTGGTCCAACTTCATACTGGGGCTAATCCTCAGCCTTCAGTGACTTCGGATCGATGTACCGGCAGGTGAGCGCAAACCGCAGCTTACCCGAGTGCTCGACAGCGTGCTCATAGTACTTCTGTACATCTGCACCGTGCATAATAACAACATCGCCGTGTCCAAGCTGCATCGTCAGCGCATCCCTCGCATTGCCTCGGTTGCTTAATTTCAATTGATATAGGGATCTGCTTCCTCCTTGCGTTGTACGCCTTGGAGTCTGATGTCTTGAGCGCGTCAAGAGATGGTTGGAGGGCGAGGCGAGCTTCGTAATGTTCGCAACCGGGAATTGGGGCGGCGTCATCGTACAGACCGGCAACAGAAGACACGCCGTGGTAGTGACGGGCTTTCATGCGGATCCGCATAGTGCCCGGCGCACCCAAACTTAACGTTGCGATAGTTGGACCGAGGCCGAATTCGCCGTCATCGTGGTAGTTGATCTTTTGTTCTTCAAAGTAGCCAAGGGCTAGAACTTCGTTGAACGCCTTCTTCTGCCATTCTTGGTCGACTTTTACCATGCTATTGCCCGTCTCTTGTGCTAGGAGTAGTTTAGCTGCCCAATTAAGTCGACTGCGTGTGCTGATTATCGGACGAGCGGCTCCATCAAAGGAGCGAGATGCTGTCGCTGCGATGAACTTGTACGGCATGCCGTAGTTGACTGCGAAGTGGCGACAGTAGTTCGGTCCTTTGAGCTGACCGTTCGGCATAGAGCGTCGCTGCAGTCCAATGTCTGTCTGTTGGAGCTCCTCGAACATCGCGTCTGGTCCACCTTCTTCCTCAAGCACTGTCTTGTTGGCGACCATGTGCGTGATAAACCCATTGACTCCGGGTAAATCATAACGATTGATGCGGTATCCATGCTCAAAGGATACTTTCAGTCCAAATAGGGGTGCCATTGTGTCTCTGGACAGCGTGTAGCTGCTGGTGACGGGCCATAATGGGTCGCGGAGCGATAGCGCAGAGATGAGCGTATGCAGAGGCGTCCTCGTATATTGGCATGCTGCATTGGAACACTCCCAATGTGTCCAGTTCAAACGGGACGTGCAGCGTCCACAACTGGGGCATACCATACCAGACCAGAATGCGACCGATGTGTTCTCACCTGGAATTGAGTGACCGGAAAGCTCAGCAGAGTTGGAGACCAGAGGGTAATCGTGGTCGTCGTTGTGCCAAGGCGTCTTCTGCTTGAGGAAGTGTGGGTCATAGACCAAAGATGCTTCCTTAGGCTCTTGAGCTGATATACTCAATCTGGGTCCCGGTGTTGGCATGAGGATCTTCCAAAAGGCGGCGCAAGTCGGTTGTAGACACATCCACCCATTTAGGTATACCTGTTGAGACTTCACATTGCAGCTTCCGCATATCTTCTCGACTGGGGGTGGCAGCGAGCCAAGCTCTAGAGCTTCCTGTGAATCCTTCTCCTTCCACCAGGACTCTTTCTTGGTGTTCAACTTCTCAAACCGGTATCGCACAATCTTGCTGTTGCCACTCTTCTCAGCCCAGATATGTGTGGGCTTGAAATAATCCAGGACACAGTACTGATGCGGTGGCTTTGACGGGATGTTGGGGTTGTCGACTCCGGTGATGATGACGACTGGGTTGTGATGAAGCATGCAGTTCCTCAAGCTTAACGCAGTTGAGTCTTCAGACTGGTCCTTCTTTGAGTTCATCTCACCGGAGTCAATGTCCTTCGCGAGACCACCACCTGCTCGTGAAATGACGACATTACTATCCACATAGTCGCGAGCATGGGCAACCTTGTCGAACATGAAGCCTCTCGCAAAACCGCCAGTTGAGTAGCAGGCGCTTTGGTATGCGCGATAGTAATGTAACGTCTCGCAAATCTCTTGCCGTCCATCGGCCCAAACTTCTGGTCGTCCGTGTGGCTCTGGCTTGTTTGAACCTTTGTTCTGCTGGGCAATGAGTCGCTCGGTGATACCATAGAGGTATCTGCCGTCAGGTGTGTTGAGCTGATCGCCAATAGGAGAGTCAGCTAATTCATCGCACTCTATCGTTGCTTCTGATTCCGTATACAAACTGGGCACCAGTTCAGCGTGGTCCGAATGTGGCGGCTTGGTTTGGTTGGCGGGGTCGCCAGCTCGAAGCCAGGCCTCAACGTGTCTGGCACGGTATGGGTTCTCGAGGACAGGAACCGCAGCAGAACAGTTGTACTCCACATGATCAGCTCTGCCACACTTTACGCAGCTCAAGTCCATAGGCTGTATAGGCTGCGCTAAACATAAGACCTGTTCGGGTACCTGTCCGTTCCTAAGCTCAACGTTTGACTTGACATGTACGATACTCGGATCGTATTGGATAGCTGATTCAGGCGTAAGGTATGCGAAGCGACCTTTGATTTCTCTCGAAGGCATTGACGGTAGTGTTTGTGCGTGATTGACGAAGTTCAGGATGTCGCGCATACTGTTCTCCGGCGTTTTTGGTTCCCATGATTGTGATATGAGTGCCTGGCTCGGGAGGGCCTCTTGCGAAGCAGATGGAGTTGCAAAATCTTGACTTGATGCAGGCACGGGTTCCAGCATAAGCTGAGCACATTGACCTTGTCCGTCCAGCAGAAGAGAGATATGTGTGTTCTTATAGGCGGAAATCGTTTGCGAATTAGCTTGATGACCGAAAAGTCTGACGGGTGTACAAACTGGAGTTGATGGCAAAGAGCCCGGTGGAGACGATAGCTCACTATCAGAGCTTTCGTTTCCGTTTTGTCGGCTTGACTGGCATCTGGGTGTGGTGACTGGGACTTTGAGACAGACTATCTTTGACTCTCTCTCTAATAGTTGAGGCGAGGTTTCGAGGTCGTTGGCAACTGTATCCAACGATACCAGAGGCTCAGCCTGGCTGCGTTGAGTTGTGGCCTTGGTAGTAGCAGGGGTTTTCTTCACAGATGATCTTGACTTGATCGAGGTCGCTTTCTTTTTCTTGGTAGCAGGCGGCTGAGGCGGTGCGTTGATGTATCTTTCTGGAGCTTTCCTCACTCGCGCCGGGCGTTGAGAAGACATGCTACCATAGTTACCGTGATCATTTTGCAGTTCGGCTGTTTCGGATTCGGGAGTATGCTTGGGTTGTTCGACTCGTGGCGCACCTTCCCAATCGGAATCGCTGTCGTCAGACTTGCGCTTTGAGGATGCCATGAAAGGATGAGTAAGTCGAGAACTGGCTTGCTTTCAAAGGTGTGACGGATCTTCAGTAACTACAATTGGAGCGACAAGAAAGATAGATTGAAGTCTAGAAACAACAGTGTGAGGTCAGGAGTGACAGAAGAGGTGGTGGGATCGCGTCATGCGGACAATAGAAATTCAATTGAGATCGTGCGACGATAGGAAGACGGCTGTACGTAGAGTCACGAAAAAGCCTACCGAGCCGCTCTCACTTAAGTGACGCAGTGAAAGTGGACAAATGTGAGAGATGGTGACAGTGAAGAAAGCTGCCAGCCCGGGGGTATGGTCGAGGATGGCTCTTGCTGTACCACGTCGCGATAAGAGCGACTTCCAAGATAGGAGCCAAACCTGGAGAAGCTCGTCATGCTTGCGACTCCTGATTGTACTCAGTCCAGAATTGTAACTTTTCTCGATGTCTGGGACGGTGAAGTGAGTCGCGTTCTCCTGGCTCCGAGCTAAGGCCGGGGTTAAGGAGAGGTTTGACCGCTTCGAGGCGTGACCTCGGTACCCCAGCTTTCCCCACATTTGGGGGCTGGCAAGAGCTGTCGGCTCCGACAGCACACGGCATCCGATGATGCTAACGCCATTCAGGAAGATGGGCGCATGCGTTAAAGCTCGAGTTTTGATTCCTCCTTTGTCTTCTCCCTGCATCGCCAATTGAGGCTTACTATAGGTGAGTACCTGCATTTGTCCCAAGCCTTCGCGCATAGCTGACGTACGCGTAGATACAATTCGACATGCCTTTCAATCCTCCTTCATGGGTGCCGCAGCTCCCGTTCGATCCACCAGACTCGATTCCCATCTGCGACTTTATGCTGGATGAGCACTATGGCCGTCACCCGCTCGGCTACTCGAACGCCCCCTTCACCTGCGGGTTGACTGGGAAGACATACTCGTGTTTGGATATGCGAGACCGCGTCGAGTCTCTCGCCCGAGGCTTATCAAAAGAGCTTGGCTTCAGACCTAACGAGGCGACGGAATGGGACAAGGTCATTGCTGTCTTCTCCGTCAATACGGTAAGCATATCAAGGCTGATTATGTTCAACGATACTGACGTTCGCTAGATTGACACCCTCCCATTGGCATGGGCAACGCATCGTCTGGGTGGTATCCAATCGCCTGCCAATGCTGCATACAGCACCGCCGAACTCGAATACCAACTGAAGAACTCTGGCGCGAAAGCCCTCTTCACCTGTGTGCCCCTCTTAGACACTGCGCGGCAGGCGGCAAAGAATAGCGGTATTCCCGATAATCGCATATACATATTGGAGGTGCCAGAATCGTTCGCTGGCAAGAAAACACCAAAGGGGCTCAAGACTGTGGACGATCTCATCCGGGAGGGCGAGAAGCTTGACCGTCTGCCAAAATTGAACTGGGAGAAAGGTGACGGAGCTCTGCGTACTGCGTTCCTTTGCTACTCTAGCGGTACTTCAGGACTACCGGTAAGTAGGAAATGTATTGCGCGTACACGCAACTACATACTGACGTATTCCACAGAAAGGTGTCATGATCTCGCACAGGAATGTCATTGCCAACACAAGTAAGTATGTCTCCATATCGCATCGAACACTAGCTAACTACGAATAGTGCAAATCACCACCTACGAGAAGCCGTATAGAGACACCATCATCAACGACGTGCGAAACCAATCCGACTACACCGAAATCGCTCTGGGCCTCTTGCCCATGTCGCATATCTATGGCCTGGTTGTTATCTGCCATGCAAACGTCTACCGTGGTGATGGTGTCATAGTTCTCCCCAAGTTTGAGTTCGCATCGACTCTACAGGCGATCCAAGATTACAAGATCAACTCGTTGTTCTTGGTCCCACCGATCATCATTCTCATGACCAAGAACAAGCCCCTGCTCGACAAGTACGACCTCAGCTCCGTCTGGTCGATCTTCACCGGCGCTGCACCGTTAGGACAAGAGACCGCAGAGGACCTCTCAAAGATCTTTCCCTCATGGAAGATACGACAAGGTTACGGCCTCACAGAGACATGCACGGTTGTTTCCTCGTCCTCTCCTGATGACATCTGGTTCGGCTCCTCCGGTTCCCTGCTGCCTAGCATTGAGTGCAAGATTGTGACTATTGAGGGCACTGAGATCACTGGCTACGACCAGCCTGGCGAGCTACTCGTCAAATCTCCTTCGGTTGTGCTGGGCTATCTCAACAACGACAAGGCCAACAAGGAAACCTTCCAGGACGGCTATATGCGCACCGGCGACGAGGCTGTCTTCAAGAAGGGGCCAAATGGTCACGAACACGTCTTCATCGTTGATCGTATCAAAGAACTCATCAAGGTTCAAGTAAGTTCACAACTTATTGCACGGTGTAACAAGTACTAACAGCATCCTAGGGCCACCAAGTTGCACCTGCAGAACTCGAGGCACATCTCCTCACGCATCCCGCCGTAAACGACTGCGCTGTTATTCAGATCCCCAATGAGAAGACCGGAGAAGTACCGAAAGCTTTCGTCGTCAAATCACCATCAGTCGGTCTGGAAGAGAATGACCGCGTTCTCGCTCGCGAGATTCAAAAGCACGTCGAAGAACACAAGGCACGGTACAAATGGATCAGCGGTGGTATTGAGTTCATCGACGAGATTCCCAAGTCGCCTTCTGGCAAGATTCTGCGACGGTTGTTGAGAGACAAGGAGAAGGAGAAGAGGAGGCAAGCAGGTAGCAAGCTGTAGGCGTCGTTATCGATGGGGGCTTTGGTTGTTCTTGCGATGTCTGTTGTAAGTAGTATTCGTTTTGCTGTTTTGCGCTATCGAGATACCGTCAGAAGACAATATATTTGACCAACCCCTCAACGTTAATGGTGATACAACGTGATATAATGACGATCTCTACACAACTATAGCACCACTAAAGAGCGAGCTGGGCGTTTCTTTCATCCAAAAGCAGGTCGCTTACTCTAGTAAGCTGAGAGTCCCGGACCCAGCGAAGTGGGGATAGCTCCAATGGATTTCCCACATTTCCCCCTCCAACCCCACCCCTTTTTTTCATGTCGCCTGCACGATCGCTAGACCTCGCAGTCGCTCGGTTTCACCATGTGCATTTTCAAAATGACAGCATAAATCTTATAGTTTGGCTTCTCGCTATAAATCAAGGCTCGTTGGTGTAGTTGGTTATCACGTCAGTCTAACAAGGAGCCTCAAAAGCTACCAGTTAGGACACTGAAGGTCCGGAGTTCAAACCTCCGATGAGTCAAGAGAATCTGCAGGTGTTGCAGTCCATCCGTTTTATTTTGTTGCCTGATAGTCAGTGAATTGGTGTGGGTTGGTTTGGCCTTTTTTTTTTTGGTATGATTTGGACTTGGCGAAATAGAGACACACATTTCACTCTACAATACCTAAGCTGAAAGCCCAGAAACGCATATCACGTAGTTTCTGAATTGCTTCTATTCGATTTTGAAAGTGCTCGGTGGCAGGGGTGGAGACAAAAAGGCGAAACTTCGGCAAACGAATCTCAAGAACACGATGCAGCAAGCCTTGTACAACGCAGCCTCTCGTGCAATCTTGAAAGCCAAATACAGCTGTTGCAGCCTACAATATACATTTAAAGGGATTAACAAAGTTAATTATATGCACGTAGTAGGCAAGACTAGACTTTGTGATAGGAAAATAACTCGATTCATCTCTGTAGGATATCCAGCTATCGCATCAACATAACATGTATCTTGGACAATTAGAAGCACATATTGATCTAAAGTGCATCCCTGAATTCGCGTTGTAGTCCAACTTCTATGTTCAAAAAAAAGTTAGGAGTGTCTGACATAGCCGAAACCAAAAAAAAAAACTTCAATCTCCACCAGCACCCCACCACGCGTACCGCCACATCTCTCTACACTCTCCAAGGCCTCTACCGATCCAAAAAAGAGAGGTCTTGCCCGGAATCGAACCGGGGTTGCCGGAAGACACTGAATTAGAATCAGAATCCGGAGTGATAACCGCTACCTGTATGGTAATTAGCGGGGGCAAGTTGGTAAGTGAGGAAGAGGATCTACGCACACTACAAAACCGATTGTAAGCGAGTTGCTTAACTGATTGATGGTGCGATGGAAAATTATACGATATAATGTGACGGTGCAAATAACACGAGACGGACTTGGTGGTTCGCATGGTTCGGCCGTGGTGGGGCTGCGGTGAGAATTTGCTGTAGAGTGGTGCGAGGACGCCGATGTATGCCGGGATC